AAGTGTTTTGAATCCTCTACTGCAGCAGCTGCGGTCAATGATCCGATGCTGTTGTTACACCTGTATGGTACCCACACAAGTCTCTTCTGTTGTACATGTAGATATAGAGATATGGGGATCGCAACACTTAAATGTACATTCTGGCCTTCGGAGTCATCACTAGTTGATTTTTTAGCAATCCCCAAAGCCTGTTACCACTGTGTTATGAATTGGATGTATTTATTTTAGGACATGTGTTTAGTATTTTCTCCTGGTTCACAGGTCATGGATCATGTATGGTCTCCCGTTGGAAAGCTTCACGATGGGGGACGGAATCGTGCAGGGAGGAATTCCCTGTGGTGCACTGTGAACTCAACAAGAAGTGAGTAGAATAAAGGAAGATGGAAAAAATGAGGAGGAAAAGCCATGCAGGATATTTTTTCTGGCCGTCAGCGACTAACAATCTGCACTTTTCAGCCTTTAATGAGTCCAGGCGGGCGATAAGAGGGAGACTTTCAAGAGACAAGACTCCAATGTGTGTTTAAACCAACAAATGAAACAAGGATTTAGGATGGATTTATCATTTTTAGCCAGCATTTTTTAGATAAAAATGTCTGGCTAAATATCTGCCTTATCTGGAACACTGTGATAAGGCGTAAGTAAGAAGTAAGAAGTATCTTGTTCACTGGTGTCTTAAAGCCGGATGACAGATAATATGTCAAACTAATCCTGCTGTAAGATTTTCCCTCTAATCTTTAAAGCTGGAAAACCAAATTAATAATAAAATCAATGTACAGTAACTAGTTCCTGGCTCCAAAACACTATGGTTCTATATATTTTTTACATGCATGCATTTCTGGCCTCTTTATACAGAAAACTGACAAAAAATGACACAGAGAGGACCACCCTCACTCAGCCAATAAGCTCTTTCTTATAAGATTCAATTCAATTCAAATAACTTTATTTATCTGTGAAGAACTTCATTTGCAGACAGAGCACCAGTGGGGATACATACAACACAAGATGGTAAAGACAATAAGATTGTATTGGGGCAAAATAACAGGCATAATTTAGGTACCCCAGCTTTAATGTCTTAAACCAATTTACAAATAGAGGGATTCAAATGTATCCATAATAAAATAGGCTCTTTATAAAAAATCTTAGCCATTTGTGAATTGTGTGGAACAAAATGCATGGAACATAATCTCAGCAACAGTGTTTGTATTTATTCGTCGCTTAGAGTTTTGTGTGTAATGCTAAAGAAACCTAAAAAAAATTGCACATGCCCAAAGAATGAGGTGGGCAACTCTATGACAACCACAACACAAAGTCAACTCCTGCGTTCCCTGGACTGGATTACAGACCAAGCCCTCCAGTCAATGACACTATTCAGCTGCCACTCCTTCCTTTTACAGCCCATTATAAACAACCTGTGTGAACTAAACTTTCATCATTATCTACCACCACATCTTAATGAACCAGTGTAAGCCGTGTAAGCCCAATTAAAGCTACTCTTTGAAAGCACAACAAATTAACCCTGGCCTCTGTCACATCTTTAGCTATTTTCAGCTTTAAAGGAGAAATTATGCAAATAGACTTTTTAACTATGACCAATTGAGTTTTTTTTTATCATGTTTCCTCATCAACATTGTTGCAAACTTGGAATCAGAATCAGAATCAGAATCATTGATTGACTGCGGAACCTTCCGCAGTCAACCATTGGTTTTGTATTTCTTTATTCCGTCATTTTTTTTGACACGTTTCACAGCTTTCACATTTTCAACAATTTCCACAAGTTATACATCAAAACGTTCCACATGTTTGGGAGATTATTGCTATTACTTTTGGGACTTCAGCGATTTCCGGTTTTTCCGCAATCGGACAAAAATCTGCATTGAGAATTCTGCAATGCATTTTAATAGGCCCATGCATTTTAATAGGACTTCAGCTCTTTCAGACATTTCTACAGTTTCAATGATTCAACAGTTTCAAGGATTCAACAGTTTCAAGGATTTCAGCAGTTTCAAGATTTCAAGAGTTTCAAGGACTTCAACAGTTTCAAGGACTTCAGCAGTTTCAAGGACTTCAGCAGTTTCAAGGACTTCAGCAGTTTCAAGGACTTCAGTGTAATCATGCAACCTAATAGGGATTTTTCCATGTAAACCAGTATAATGCAACTTAATAGGGATTTTTCCATGTAAACCAGTATAATGCAACTTAATAGGGTTTTTCCATGTAAACCAGTATAATGCAACTTAATAGGGGTTTTTACATGTAAACCAGTATAATGCAACTTAATGGGGATTTTTCCATGTAAACCAGTATAATGCAACTTAATAGGGGTTTTTCCATGTAAACCAGTATAATGCAACTTAATAGGGATTTTTCCATGTAAACCAGTATAATGCAACTTAATAGGGTTTTTTTCATGTAAACCAGTATAATGCCACTTAATAGGTTTTTTTTCATGTAAACCAGTATAATGCAACTTAATGGGGATTTTTCCATGTAAACCAGTATAATGCAACTTAATATGGGTTTTTACATGTAAACCAGTATAATGCAACTTAATAGGGTTTTTTTTTTACATGTAAACCAGTATAATGGAACTTAATAGGGTTTTTTACATGTAAACCAGTATAATGGAACTTAATAGGGGTTTTCACATGTAAACCAGTATAATGGAACTTAATAGGGGTTTTTACATGTAAACCAGTATAATGCAACTTAATAGGGATTTTTACATGTAAACCAGTATAATGCAACTTAATAGGGATTTTTCCATGTAAACCAGTATAATGCAACTTAATAGGGTTTTTTACATGTAAACCAGTATAATGCAACTTAATGGGGATTTTTCCATGTAAACCAGTATAATGCAACTTAATAGGGGTTTTTACATGTAAACCAGTATAAAGGATAACAGTTTAAAGGATATCAGGAGCTTCAAATACTTCAGGAGTTTCAAAGATGTTTAAAGTATTTTAACAGTTTCAAGGATTTCAAGGATTTTTCAGCTAAATTCCACATTAGATCTGTTCCGCAGTCAATCGCAATGGCTTCAGCCATTGCAAGTTTCTAGTTTTTATTGCCACGTAAGTAACAGGAAGTCACAGACTTGGAAATTGCTTTGGCTCAGTGCAACAGTCACAGAGAGATAATAAAAAATAAAGAATAAAAAACACTTCTAAAGAATAAATTTAAATTTAAAATAGAGTTACAGTTACTATTTACAATATACAAGTGCACAAGGAGCAGACAATGTAAGGTGACAGCAGTACAGTGAAGTAAAGTGACGTATGATGGGCAGTAAAGTGAATGCCACCCCTTCAGTCTAAAAGCACCCATTAATTAGTCTTGGCAATATCTCAGCTGAAATTCCCAACAATCGCATGGCTGTGTTTGCAGTCGGTAATTTTCAAATGTGAAAAAATAAAAGTAAATCTACAGCTCTCCCTGGTGGAAGCATTGGGATAGGGCGGGTCAATAGCATTTCTTGTCATTATTCCCCACTTTCTAGATAATATTTCACATTCTAAAACGTGAAAAGACAAAACTAAATAATCTCATACCCTTCTATGACCAAAAATGATGCGTAATTTTCCGTAAAAACTGAAACATATGAAGCATGTCACACATTGCTTTTAACTTTTATTTTATTCAAGAAGATCTCATCAAGATGCAGAATACATGATTGCTGTATCGTGTACACAAATACAAACATGAGTAATATCATCGTGCAAAGGTGAATAATTGTCTAAATGTAACATCAGGAATCCAATAAAGCCGCTTGTGAGTCATATGTGGTGATAATTCTCCAGTTTTTATTTATCGTTGGTGACAAAAGGTAAAGTGTGGCTGACATGTGAGGCAACAGCAACTGCGCAACATGCAGTCGAAAACACAGTGTGATAAAAACCAGTGCAGAATTCCTGAAAGGAAACCACCCAGCAGTAACATCGCTCCAAGGCACCCAGCCGTTAGAGGGGCGTGCCACGAACCCACACCAGGGCACCTTTGGGTGGTGCACCATTAGCTGACTGAGGGATCATTTCAACACAATGTGGTATTTACGCCCTGGAGACAATAAACTTTATATCAATCAAGACAGGAAAAAAGAACGCTTCACAAATGATTACATCAACAGCTCATTGCAGTATTTTAGTAATGATATATAACTAAACGTGTGCCTTACACAAATCAAAACAGTTGGAAAGTTCTGCATTTCTTCTCGGAAGCAACCTCACTGTAACCCGCTACTTATTGCTACAGTGGCGCTATAACAGCTACTACTTTGGTCTTAATAAATGAGTATGAAATCTATTGCTGCCTTCCACACATACACAACGACCCCAAGTGACACCCGCTTTAGAACAACCAGAAGTTTCCACTTTTTTTCTGCGCTTTGAGGCAATTAGCAGAAACGCCATATTTTATAGAGGTCAGTAGGTCGCTCTCTGTTACGTCCAGTGCAAAAGTCTAAGTCAAAGTTCAAGACATGCCACCTTGATGCCTAACTTTAGCTCAGTTTGTAGCCAAAAAAACCGTCTCCCGTTGCTCTCCTCGCCGTCTTCGCCGTGAGACACCGAGCTGCTGACACGAAACATCTCAATCACTTCTTCAGAGCTTTGACAAAAGATCCCTGCGACAAAATACGGTGGTCACAATAATACAAAGGCTGGAGATAGAAATGTTACTTTGTCAATCCAAACATGTGCGTTGTATGTGAAATTAGTAGCGCAAGGACACTAAGTAGTAATACTGTAATTTGTCACTCTGGAGAGATGCACTAATCGACACGTTTCACCACTTTGGTTCAGGAAAATGGAGGTTTGGGAAGATAATAAAATGGGGAAAATTGATGGTTAGTATGCGTGCGGTTGGTTTTGAATCCAAAGTGATGAAAGTGGCTTGGGTACAGGAGCATAGATAGAGGGAGGCAGAGAAAGCACTCATAAGTTAGAAGCAGGCTGACTTAGGCTTTTACTTACACATGTACCACTTCACTCACTCACAGCGGTTTACTTCTTCTTCCCGCCTAATGACATATTTTCTGTCTGTTTCTTCTGTGCCTCATTGAACAAAAGACACATCTTTATGTTAGCAATCTGCCATTTCGAACAGTTAAAGCTGGGCTTCCTGACGTTTGGGACACAATGGAAGTACTGGTTTGAAGTACCATAATTTCTGGACTATAAGGAGCTACTTTTTTCAATTAGTAGTTTAATATTTTACATTGAATTATAGAAATAACTTTTGAACAATAATCTACATTTCTCAGTCTGTATTGAATCAAAACAGTTTTTGAAACAAGTTTGCCAAAGATAAACCGTTTTCTTAGTCTAATGACAGCGTGCTGTTGTCTGATTTGTTCAAATGATTTCGCTTTTACGTATAATGTAATATTTATTAAACAAAAATGTTAGTTGCCAGCTTTAAAGGTGTTATTTTATATAAAATTCAGTGTTTTTTAAGGTAACAAACTGAGGGCATAGGATGAAAATATTATATATTCTATTTAAATATATCTGCGGAAATAACATTTATGATAATGAAGAAGCATGTATCCTGTAAATATTAGGTTTCTAAGAGCTGGGGTGTGAGCAAGAAAACCCAGACCTCCCCCTCCCGAGACACCTCCTCCACAAGCATAAATTCAATGCACATAAAGATGAACTCCGAAGCCTGAGAAATTACAGCATGTCACACTTTGTTCCGGTGTAAGCAGTTGCTGCCTGCATTGTTAATTAAGCAAGATCATAATTTATATATGTTTGGAAATAAATGAGTTCAAATATTATTTTGTTTTTGGTCAGATATGAAAGTAATAGTCTTCACTACACAAACATGCACCAACAGAGATGATAAAGGTGTTTATGGTATTAGACGAAGGGAATGCTCTACCTCAGTCATGGCATCATCGATTTGTTTCAGCTCTTCGTAATGATCACGAGAGTCTCTCAAAGGCTGCACCATGATCTCTTCGATCTGGGGGAAAAGCTGAGGAAGCACAGTCGTGAAACAAATAATAATGTTATGTTTTTTCTGTAAAGTTAATAATACCTTCATGACGGTCTCAAACATTGGGATGAGAACAAATTTGATGAATCCAATTTGAGCCGTGGGTTTGGTGACTTTATCTCGATCCATAAAGGGCGCCACAGGCAGGCCCTCAGACTTCTCCCTGTCACTCTGAGGTAAATTAAACAAGTTTTATACTTTTAAATAATTGTTATCTATCATTTCAACAATGTGTTTGTTGTACCTGCATAAAATACTCTTCTAAAAGGCAATCAACCCAGGGCTCAGCAACCTCTGTGGGCCTGACCTCGTTGGAAATATCACAGCACTTAATCAAAACCATCTTGAGCTGAAAGTGGACACAGATGAGTGCAGCTTCTAATCACAATAACGCAGTGTGTCCAGCCCCCTGTACAGAATGTTGTGCACCACATGTAATGTGGATCATTGAGTAGCTACTCACACATGTCACATGCTCTTCATTGGTGAAGTCAAAGTTGTCCACTTTCTGCTTGAAGGATTCTAGTATCTCTCCATGTCTGGCCATGTCTGTAGCTAGTATCAGTGTTATAATAGCCTGTGAGTTTAGAGAAGTGGCTCATTTAAGCAGTGACAGCAAACTTAAGTTTGATACAGAGAATTCTGTAGACATCACCTGTCTTATCTGTTTGAAAGCCTCAGGATCCACGTTTGCAAAGATATTGCATTCAGGTAGAGAGAGGATCTGAAAGGCCACAGCACAGTGGTGGTTCTCCAGAGGGGAGATGTCGTTGTAGCGCACAGCCAGCTCTGTACGTGCATTGATTTGGTACCTAGCGGATGAGAGACAAGGCACAATGGTTAGAATCTTGAATCTGAAGAATCTCTGCTGATAAGAACCTGGTCAAATTTCTTTCACAAGTAGCATCCTGAACTGAATGTTTGCATACCAGAGCATTCCCGGAGCTAGTTCCTCAGGTCATTGACAAGAGTGTTGTGCAAAAGATGTGATAATGGGATCAGTGGGCATCAACGTGTGTCGGAACAAAGGAAGTCTTACGTGTTGTTGTAGCCAGGGTGGTCCAGGTCGTGACAAACCGCAGCTGTCATAAGAATGCCCATGTCTGTGAGAGTCAACTTCTCCTGGACAGAAAAAAGTCAGTCACAATACACAGAGGCACGCTTCACTGTCATCGGTATGTTCAAGTGAAAGTTACCTGGAGATTGCAAAGGTGAATCATGCCATACATCATCTGACTAACACAGAAGCAATGACGGAAGTTATGAAAGGGGTTGTTACGGTAGTTCTCTTGAATGCCCAACTTTGAATAAACAATCATTCAGATGCGTTATCATTTTAAACACAGGTGTTTTCACAAACATTTAGTTTTACCAGCCAACGCTTCAGGGTGATGGGATTCATGTTGAACTCCTTCACCAGTCCCAAGTCATGATACATGTATTCCAGACAGCTCAGCATCTGCAGAACAATGTTATGTGTTAGAAATGTAAAAACACAAATAATGAATCACTACAAACCTCATTGTGCTCCCAGTGCCACACATCAAATGTGGGCTTCTTCAAAGCTTCCACTGTCTCCTGAGATAATGTGTACTACAGACAGACACAAAGTATTTTAGACATGGCCACAGTAATATACACAAGAAATACCTATTATCTATAAAGGACCTTTGGGTAATTAGGAACATCTCGTCGAGGCGTGACCTTTTTGCCATCATCAAAGTTGTATTTGCACGGACAGTTCACTCTAAGAAAAACAAAAACAAATCTCATACAGACAATTATTGTTATCCCCACACTGTTTTTGTTGTGCTGGATTTTTTCTCTCTCACCTTCCACCACCTCTAGAAGCCATCTCATCTCTTAACTTCTTTAAATCATTTTTACATTTCTCAATCTCTACAACTTTAAGGCCTTCCACTGGGAACATAGAACATGAACAAGAGTATTAAGGTCAAACCAAAGCTACTGTCGCCGAGCGTGCACAAGCCTACACATACGCTCCACTCTCTTCTCCAGCATGGCCAGCCTGTTGGTGACTTCGGTTTTCAGTTCATTAATGCGAAAGGCCCTGTGAGAAACAGTTGCGTGAGGTGCAAAAATGCGTGGGAAAAAAGGTAATTGGATTATACGAGAAGCGTGAGTGTCAGCTATGAGAGTGAGGCATGTGAGAACTATCACTCATCACAACCTGAAGAGAGAGCTCACCTGCTAAACTGCTCGGCCACCTGGGAAAGCACGTTCTGAAACATGTCCTCTTTCTCTGCAAGGAATATACCCATAAATACAGTTCATGTTTGGTTCAAATTAAAAGCTGTATGTAAAAAATGTTACCTCCAAGTTGACCAGTGGACAGTGGGACCACTTTGTACAAAGAGCTGTAGAGAAATGTGGATTGTTGTAGTTATTTGAAAAGGGTATGAAGCTATTGTTGTCATAATTACAAGTAAATATAAAAGAAATATTGTCAGAAAGTATCCATCTAGGTTGAATTTGGTTCAAGGTTAAAGTTGAATAACCTTGAACCAAATTCAACCTACAATGTGAGACTGATGTGCAACGGAAAGTGAGATACATCAAGCCTGTATGTAATGTTGACAGTTGACTCACAGCTGGACTGTAAGGCTTAATGATATCCAAATGAAAACAAAGGATTGACATAAAATAGCCTATATATTTGTCTGTTATAATTATGTATCCTTAGCATAATGACGTATATTGCTTTCACATTTTCAGCAAGACTACAGAAAAAAACATGTATAGGACATTCATTCATTCATTCATTCATATGGATTCCAAATGGGCCAAAATTACAAACCAAATAGAAACGACAATGTAATAATATCCAGGAGAGATAAAAAGGATTACTCTGGGGAGTTGGTGGGCATAGTGGGATCTATGGACACCAAGGCGCCCTCTTGGTCCACCACCATGATGGCTGTGTTCCTATGGACCAAAAGAAGAGTCTGTCGTTCAAAGGAAAAACACTTTGAAAGCGAATATGAAAAACAAACCTGGGGACATTTGAGGAGGAGCACAGCAGCTCCTTGATATCACACGGACTGCAGTGTCGACTGAACACTACCTACAAAACACCATTTGTCAAAACTAGTAACAAACCATTTAACACAAAATGTTGTGAAATATAATGTTTCATATATTCATCCTGTTACAGCATCAAGCCATGTTGTTCCCATAAATGCATCAAGGACACTTGACTATTGGAATCAGGCTTATCAGGCTTTGGTCACCATAGTTGATACTTTCTCAAAAACTGAAGCAAAGGTGGACTTCAGTGGTCTGAGACTGGACACGAATGCTCTGAGTAAACAGGACAAGCCCTGACAAGTCAGAACTGAGGAAGGACTGCAGGGTTCTAATCCTCTGCGTTAGAACTCCAGCCTGAGATTGGGTCCATGTTTTGCATTATAAAAACAAAATACATGGTTTTTCTGTCATCTTTTCCACTGCCATATTTAGTACTTAATTAAAGCCTGGGTACTTAACTTTTAAACCGCAACAAACAACAAAATAATTGTTTGTCTCTGTCGCATCTTTAGATCAGCTTTTTCACAAACATAAAAGTGAAAAAGAGAGGACCACCCACACTCAGCCAATTGTTTCTGCCCAACTTATTCAACAGGACTCTTTCTTACAAGTATGCAAAACAACTTTTCCAATACAACATGTTGTGGTCTGATGATTTATTACCAACAATTGACTTCATTTAGCCTGTTAGTGGGAAGGGCAAAACCATGCATCTCCTCATCCTGGAACATGAGACGATGTCATGGCGCATGGCGACTTGTCCATGTAGCCTCAGTGATAGTGGGATGTTATGTGTGATGGTTGTGAAGGAGGCAGGTGTATCGGACAAACACAACACCTCTTGACTTGGACATGTGTCACCACCAGCTCCTGCACTTGAAGCTCTCTACGCATCACTGTACACCACATTTTCACTCCATGGATATTATGCCAAGATCAAGCGTATATACTGCATATATACTGTATTATGTGGCTGGGCTAGATTCTTCTTAATAGCACCCAGGCTCTGATGCCTGGGTGTTATTATCACCTGCCGCCACACCACGTTGCCAGTGCTATTCTAAGCCACTCACTTCATCTTGAGGGAACGCCTGCTTTAATTGGTTTAATTGCAGTGAAGTAGAAAGTTGTCTGCTCGTGACTCACCACATAGAAACTTGTAGCAATCAAAATTATTTGAGACAATTAGTTCTATTAAGTTTTATAGTCTTGTTGAATAAAACATAGTATGTAATTAGTTTGGAAGCACGATCACTGGAGGCATAATGTAGTTCAATTTGCAACATTGGTGGTGGTTTTAAGATAAATTATGACAAAATTAAATCATGAAACATGTCTCTGATACAAAGTAAAACAAATAGTCAAACCTGTCTACAATCAGTTGCTTTACAGTTTTCCAACTTGGTAAACATAGGAACTTTTTAGGTCTCATACTGTCGCATATCAGCCTATTCCTTTCATAGAAACACATGCTCTGTTTCAAGCAATCAAAAATGTGTGCATGGTAAACAAAATAAAAAATAGTAATGATACTAAAAATGAAAAACTCTTCCATCTATTCATATATGTCTTTGAGGATAGGGTATACAAAATCCCAATGTAAACCTGCACAGGCCTTAAAACCTCTGTTCCAAAGGGCACAGTGCCATTATGCAATCAGCAGATATCAGCTCAAATCATTTTGGATCACGTCTATATCATGACATATCTATGCCCATATTCAGTATATTCTTATAGATATTTATCACATTTCTGTCTCATAATTTCTGGTTTCTTCCAAAGACATGTACAGTATATACCTCAAGGTTGATTTTTCTGGTCAAAACTATACAAGTTTGAATGAATCAATACCAACCTTCTGCACTTTTCCATCCACGTTGAGGTAGACGGTCTTGGGGGCATAGGAGGAGGAGCTGGAGCCCATGTTGACCTCCCTCCCCTCGCTTACTCTGGGTCCGACTCGATGTTGTTGTCGGGCGTTAAATATCCAACCGCAGGCGAGATTACTTTTTGTCCTGTTATTGTACGAGATTAGATTATCAATGTCTAAACAGCATGCAAAATGTAGCGTAGACTAAATGGGGTGTAACTTACAGTGCTGTTTCCCCTGATGATTGCGGCTAATGTCCCGTGTCCAGAAGATGCAGCCAAACGTGCACCTGGGCGACAGTGACAGAGCAGGACAAGGAGAGGTCGCTTGTGAGTGATGGAGGAGGAGGAAGGAAGAGGCTGCTCTATGGAGTACTATAAAGGTGGTGCACTCCACAGGTTGCCAAGACACAGTTTCTATGGAGAATTAAAAGGACAAGGGCAATGCTTTTATTTGTAATCACAGCAGATCAAGGACACAAAGGTCATTCTTCAGCGAAATAATCATAATTCACACTGATAGTTGATTGTCAGCGTAATCCCTCTTATGGTAAATTGCGTCCATTCTTACCGCAAACAAAACTGTTAGGAAATTAGTTGGAAATACAGGCATCATCCTCTTGACTTAACGAAGGGTGCTAAAAGTGATTGGTTCTTCAGTGATGATGAGTCTGTGTGTACATTGCATGTGTTTATGTCATGTTCATTCATGTTCCCGTTGTTGGAGAGGAGCAGATGGTTTGGTCATACGAGTTCGGTGGAAGAACTCTCCAAGACCATTTGGAGTGCAGTGTATTTTGGTCGGCAGTTCTTAAAACACCAGCCATGATGAAATAAACATATGTCATGACGTGTGTGTATGGAGACAGCAGCTGCTTGGCCTCTGCATTTTTTGGGAATCATCGTTATTGAGCTCAGACGTACACTGTCTCGCATTAGATGAAATATTGTCCTGAACCTGTACTTGTTCAAGGCCTCGTTGGAAGTGTGGATACAAGATATGAGTGAGAAGAGAAAGGTGATGATTAATTAGACAGTGAGAGCATTGCACAAGCGTCATCATCTGCGGACTCTCACTTTGCACCTATAGGCCTTTGCATCCCTGGAGCTTAATTACTAAGTCCAACATGCTTTCTCTGCAAAGACTAGCTTATTCATTTTCTACATTGAATAATGAGACATTTACATAATTTTGGATTCTTTTTGATGGTTTCTGTATGTATATATTTGTATAACAGAGTTATCATTATTTTTTGTAAAACTTTTTCTATTGAGATTTTATCATGTTGTCTGTATGTACGTGTGTGTCAGTCTGGTGTGCGTGTGCGTGTAAGTGTGTGTGGGCGTGGGCGTGTGCGTATGTGTGTGCGTGTGTGTGTGTGTGTGCGTGTAGGTGTGTGTGTGTAGGTGTGTGGGTGTGTGTGTGTGCTATATTAATTGCTTGTAAAAAATGTAAAACACATGCGATGATTCCAAGGATATCCCCAGGAAGAATAGCCACTAATGGGGGTCTTGATCAATTATTCTACATGGGGCAAATAAAAAGAGAGAAAGAATTAAACACATACAATAATCCCTGGATTACAACCCTGCAACTATAAGAATGAACATACAATATGTTATGTTTTCTAATGCATCTTATATACAGTATAGTTAACTACAATTCAAAAAGAAAAAAGGGAAAACAAAACAAGCTGCTTTGATCAGTGGCCGCTTGTTTCCCATCCCAGCTGACGGTGTATCTGTGGATGAAAGCAAAAATAAAAGGGTGTATATTTTAATGACAAAGGCGTACATCTGCACACCTGAAAGCTTCCCATTATTCCACTAATGATGGAAAACAGTCTGTGCCTGCTACACTCTGAGAGGCTTTAATCTCTCTTTTAATCCATGTAGATAGATCAAAATTTGCTTAATAATGAAATGATTATCTATTTCTTAAAGTAGCAGTATGTAATATTTACATGTCAAGTCATCATTAAATGGCCCCAATATTTCAAAAGGCGTTATTAAATCATGCTCTTTTCGAATACATCTTTAACTGATAACAGTAGTTCAGCCGAGATATTTCAATATCAAAGTTAGTTTTACGACCCGTAAAAGTTATTATTGTTTTCCTTTCGATGTCTGGAGTCGATCACTGGTTGTATGCTATGGTGGTCTAATGGTTTAATCACAGCGCCAATACTCCAGCAGCCCGAGTTTGAGTCTTGGCAGGATATGTTTTGGATTAAACTATATAATATTATATTCTATGACAGATTGCTCAAAACGGTAAAAGGTAAAAACGAGCCGTTATTCGAAGATTAAAGTTTAGTTATAATAAGAATCATTTGAGACCACATGTATCTCAATTAGAATAATGTTTGTCTCTTTTTGATGTGGGACTTATACATGTATGTCTAAAAAATTGGGAATAAAAAAATGTAAGGGTGATGTCCTCCGGAGGAAACCCTGATGTTGATTCACTGAAGAATTATGTTCCAACATCCATTCTTCCCACTCCTATTTTGGACTTTAATAGCTTATTTATCTTGAATAATCAATGTATAATTAGATTGCTTTTATTTATTTTTTCTCATCTCGAATATCCAAATAAAAAAACATTCAAAAATTTCATTCAACATTAGCACGGCTATTATGGAAATGTAAATGGAGACCGACAAACAACTGATAAAATAATCCCCTGTGTTTGCTGATGGATTTGGTGTGTATCTGGCAACCTGAGTCAGGGAGAGTGGGAGAGGACTACAAAATATTGACTGTGACTGCAGTACCACTTTTGGGCAGATTTTTACATACTGCTCCTTTAATAAAAAGGGCAATATTCTTATAGTTTTTTTCATGCAAACAAACAACTCACTATAAGAACTGATACTGCTACTACTACTACAACGGATAATATTACTTCTTCTAAGAGTATAAATAGGTCGACAAAAATAACAACTGATGAACAGTTTGCTTCCCCCTAGTGGAGAGTTTTAAAAATACAACAAACTTGAAAAAACGGCAGAAGTGGAAGCAATACTGGTGACGATATCTCATAATATTGTAAGTGTTTGACTTCTCAATATAAAACAGGATCTGTTCGAGCAGTTTACTGCACTAAATTGTGTTTACCAGTCAAACCCCTTTATGCCCAGTGTCCTGGGTCCAGGAAGAGGCAGTGCGGTCTATGATAATAACAAGAGTCTAAAGAGCAGCAGCGTGGACGTGAGGACATGAAGACATGTCCCAGTTTGTGCATCAGCTGCTCACTGGTCATGAACATGTCGACATCTAGTGGCTATGATAGGAAGTGCACCCTTAATGTGTATATTTGATTTTAAAACATTTAAATCATTTAAAGATTTTAAAGTATTTAAATATATTTGATATGTTCCCAGCGACAGTAGCTTAGTTGGTAGAGCATTGGCCTTAGAGCCTGAAGGTCGTGGGTTCGATCCCACCCTAAGACCTACTTCCCACTGATGTCTGCTGCCGTTGTGTCCTTGGGCAAGACACTTAACCCCACTTTGCCTGAAGCCCCCACTGAAAGATCTCAGCTCCTGTGGAGTCCCCACCTGCAGGAGGATCAGTGAGGGGCTGGTGCTCTGTGTACTGGGTGCAGCTCTGACTGCCACCCGACCCAGAAATGGATTAAGGGGAAGAAAATGGATGGATGGATGGATGTTCCCAGCCCCCACAAAAACTTTGATACATTACAAGTTTCCACTTGCATGGTTCATGACCTGCATGTTGTTCTGTTCTTGTTCAGCCTTTCTAATACATGGAAAAGTGAAAGGAGGGCACCTGCTTTACCTTTATCTTTATTACTCCTTTGCAAAATGTGAAAGATAAAGACTGTTTTATGGTCTGATTTCACTCCTGCACTCTAATTGTAAAAATGAATGCACCAGTATTGCTTCATGAATAAGAAAAGGCTGTAGAAATCAAATGTATTACACTTATTTAACAATTACAAATCATGACAAAAAAGAAACTGAGCATGCAGGTGGTGCACAACGTAATGTTATTTATTCAAACACTACAAATATATAGTGCATAGAGAACAGGTGAAAATATACACTATTAAAGTGGACAGAAACAAACATAATTCTAATTGTGCATAAAGTTTAATAAACTATACATAGGTGTTTTGTGTACAGCTATGGTCATTGCTGTAATGCACTGTGTGAGGCTTCATTATGCTCTGGACCGTCCGGCTCCACTGGCAGGGTGCTGGTGGGGATGCCCACAGGAGGCCGACCTTTCCTGATGGGACTGAAGGCACGATGGGCTGACCCCGGTGAGTGAGGGCTGGGCATGGGCAGTGGCTGCCCCAGAGGAGAGGGGCTCCGGGGGTACCGGCGAGGAGGAGTCCATATGGGCCCACTTCTGTTGGTGGGTGGCAGAACTGGGACAAATGTGGCAGGGAAACCTTCTGATTGGCTAACGTTACCAGAACGGTCCTCTGAGCACTCCAGTGGTTCCTGTAATTAACAAAAGTAGGTCTTTGTCAGTTGTGCTCATACCACTTCAAATGAAATGTAAGTTCAATCTTACCTCTTCTGATAAAACACACAAAGGCCTCGGACTCCTTCGTCCAAGGGTGCTTGCTTTAGGTATAACTTCCTATAGGTACAACACGTTTAGACAACATGGGTTAATTAATAATCGGAATATTTGAATAAACAAGATTTGTCACTTGCATCTTCATTGAGAACATATAGGGGCATTGGACTCCTTCTTCCAAGTGTACTGGGCTTAGGCACTACGTCAACTGAAAACAAGAAATGAATTACTGATAGTAGAGCTTGAGAAGACATATTGGTATAGAATGATAATCAACAACCAACCCTCATTTTCACTCTGCTCCATATAGATGGGAGCTCTTTGGGGGACAGGTCGATGCTTCTTTCTGAAACATGAATGTACTCAATTACAGCCACACAATTGCACTACTACGGCACAGGGAACTTTCACAGAAATGATGATGTAAGAAAGTGAACTTGTTGGGATTCTGTTGGTGTGCTCAGGCTCTACCTTACAACCAGAAAGAGTCTGAATAAGAAGGAGGAATAGGGAGAAAAGACTCTTACTTGGATGGCTTCCAGCAGGCACACACTGTCACCAGGGTGATTAGGAGGAATATGCCTCCTGTGGACAGAATGATGTATAGCGAGCTCCGTCCTACACCAAAGGAAGAAAGTGCAGGAAAAAAGAAAAGAGGACAAAGAACACCAGAATTATGTGTTAATAACAGAGGGAGTTGCACTGATTATTATGTTCACAAATCACTTCTACTCAGTGAACTTGCCGGTTTTAAAGGTACACCATTGTAGCTCTCGACTCTTTGAAGTGTGCTTGCTCTGTAATGACTTTGTAAATGGAAATGAAAGTTTGAGTCGCTCTGCTCTTTCTGTTATCTTGCACACAACGCAATGATGAATTCAGGAAGGATTATTTGGCTTTGCTCAAAGGTTTTTCATTTTGCACTCTCTTTGACAACTATGTACAAGTGGATGTAGTTTCTGACGTGCCTCGTAAGCGTCTGGGAGCCAGCGGGGGCCAACAGGTGTGCCTTGAGATCGACTTTTTAGTTCAGACCGGTGGATTTGAGTATGGGTGAATGTGTCTTATTGCATATTGTTGCTATTTTAAGTTGTAGTTGTGCGCATGTTTCATTTGAGAGGGAGATGCCAATACAAGTCTGAAAAGAAACATTTTTTCAAATAAATGTTTTCCCAGATCATGGGACAGTGATTCTTATGTCTGAAAACACATTCCACTGGCCAACATCCTGCATATGTTCTTGAATATTGTCACCACTGGAGACCTTTATGTGAAAATAATTCAACAATGGTTGATATGTACTGACAAAGTGGTTCAATTTACATTTACGCCTCGGAGGACTTTACAAAGTTAACGATTCGAAAACAACAGATTAGATAATAAAACAGGAATTTCAATAATAACAAACCCATAGGAGCCAGTGGTAAGATAAGAATTTCTTTATTCGTCCCACAGTGGGGAAATTTCGATGTTGCAGCGCACATATAGGACAGTAGTAAGAGCACACAGGGAGCACACAATATATACAAATAAGTAGTAGCTATGTTTCTTAGCTAACAACCAGCTGTAGATGCTGAAAATTCTTCAATACCAGTCAAAAAATATATATGTAGTAGTAGTGCAGTTATATACTGTACAGTTGAATAGTGCAGGATAATAAGTAGATAAGTAAAGTGACATTGTTCTGTGACATCCTGAAGTTGCAGTATTGCACATTGCACATGATTTAAGAATTTACTTAATTACAGATGAATGAAATGTACAAGCTCAGCAGTTCTTATTGTACAGTCTGACAGCAGCAGGAAGGAAAGACCTACGGACCCTCTCCTTCACACAGCGAGGGTGAATCAGTCTGTCACTGAAGCTGCTCTCCAGAGCAGACAGAGTGTCCTGCAGGGGGTGACAGTCATGGTCCAGCATAGATGTTAGTTTGCTCAGGACCCTCCTGTCCCCCACCTGCTGCACTGTGTCCAAGGAACAGCCCAGGACTGAGCTGGACTTCCTGATGACCTTGTCCAGCTTCTTCCTTTCCCTCTCTGTGATGCTGCTGTTCCAGCAGACCACACCGTACAAGATGGCTGATGCCACCACAGAGTCATAGAAAGTCCATTGGGAGCGGGAAGACCACTGTCTATAGAGTTGATAAATATCCCAAACCATCATTGTCCTAGACCTAGAACAATCCTGCACCAGCAAGGCACAATGTGAGAAACCCGGGGGAGGCCCAGATTGACAGAGGAATCAGCTTCCACGGATGGACAGGCTGTATATGCAGGACTGAGGCTGTAGATCCAGGACTGAGGCTGTAGATCCAGGACTGAGGCTGTAGATCCAGGACCGAGGTTGTAGCTCCAGGACTGAGGCTGTAGATCCAGGACTGAGGCTGTAGATCCAGGACTGAGGCTGTAGATCCAGGACCGAGGTTGTAGCTCCAGGACTGAGGCTGTAGATCCAGGACTGAGGCTGTAGATCCAGGACTGAGGCTGTAGATCCAGGACTGAGGCTGTAGATCCAGGACTGAGCCAGTGGATCCATGACTGAGGCTGTAGATCCATGACTGAGGCTGTAGACCTAAGACTCGGGCTGTAGCTCCAGGATGTGAAGCTTTTGGACAGTATTGTTCCATGTAGATTGACCCGGGAACTATTGTTTGATAATAATTATTTATCATATGACTTGGACCGTACGCACGCTCTGATTGGCTGATGACTGGTCTTATATTTTCCCATCTTGGACCGTTACCATGCCAATTGGTCCGAACAGCGCGTATCACATTTGATGTCTTTCCTCGGACCGTTACCATGACAATCTGTTCGCAGCGCGTATCACACAAAACCAAGTCGGACATGAACATACTTCACAAAATCTCAAAAGCATTGGAGAGTCATATAATAAAACATTTGTTAACCTTGCTTGCTCGGTCTGTACAGAGAAATATCAGACCTTGGCCCTTTTTGCACAGACCTCGCTCGGTCTGTACATTAAGGCCGCGGTCTGATATTTCTCCATAGAGACCTCGCACTCGGTTAACAAGCCGTTAATATTCAATTTCTTGATGATGATGGTGTGTTTGAAGCTGCTCATTTTAAAGAGCCTCTCAGGTACAAATAAAGTGTTTGATTAATTCAAGAGAAATTACAAACAAAAGTAAAATTAGAAGTCAGACTTTTGACTGTTACATCACAATTTTTAACTATTGGCTTTGAAATGTCAGGATGTCACATGAACACACCTGATTCCGATGTAAAAGTAAGTTGCATTCCACTTACTATAGACTGTGAGTCGGATTGGGGAGCTCTTCATGCTGCTGATGAGGTTCTCCACTGTGCAGGTGTAGACATCGTCGTCCGACATGAGGACCCGGGAGATGGTCAGAACCTTGTGGTCGTGTGACAGTATCAGTCGTGAATCATTCGTCAGCACTTTGCCGCCCTTGATCCAGCTGTAGATGGGCTTTGTGCCATTATCATGAGAGCAGTGAAGATTAAAGCGCTCGTTGTACTCCAGCACAGAAGAGGCCATCATCTGGATGTAAGGTCTGGACACTGGAACTGGTGACACAGGCAAGCAGGTGTCAGCAGTTGGTTGAAAACTGATTTTACATTACACAGCACAATGCATTTGTACTCAGATATGTGAGATGGATTGCTTTGATAAACAAACGTTTCAATAGAGATAATATAGCGCTCACTGTTCATATGATTAAAGCACAGGTTATGTTGATGTTTCTGGATGTTGGATGATTATATAAGCATAATAATCATAGGTTTATTTCAGACGGTAATGTCAAATGACTCATTCTTGAATAGTTTCCCAAACTAAACTGCATTACTTGAACTATAGGGCAGTCATTCCGGTGATGGCCCCACACTCCCCCTCAGTGTTAGAATATTACTCATAGGTGTATAAATGCAGTACCATCCACCGTGAGCTCGATGTAGTGATCCCCAGTGAAGGTGTCGTCTGTGATGGAGATCTCCACTTCGTAGGTGCCTTCGTCAGACAGCTGCAGGTTATGCAGTAACAGAGAGCCATTCTCATACACCAGGATGCGGTCTCTGTACTCTGGCCTTAGGTTTCCAATGATGTCAGTGCCAATAGATTGGACAACTGTGATGGGTTTCACCTTGTCTCTTTTAAGCTGCCACTTAATGACAGGTTTGTCTGTGCTGCTGCTGGAGTAGCTGACAGACAGCAGGGCCTCTCTGCCCACTGTCCCTCTCACCACCTGTGACTGGCTGGTCACATTCACACTGGACACGTGACCTGTAACATACCAAAGGGGCGGGCGGTTCACCCATTCAGCACAGTACTATATTCATTTAACATTTGTTTTCATTTCACTGAATCACCTTTCGTACCTTCATGACCTGTGCTATTGAGCAAATTATTGGTTGGGATGTAATTTCCAACTAACTGCGAGGCATCTTCAGAACTATCACCCATCGTGGTGACGTGTCATTTATCAGCTGATGGTACTTTCTGAGTACACACATTAACAAGGAAAATACATCTCAACCAGTATTTGTATTTCAATAGGAACCTAAGCAGTAAAGTCAAAAGCAGATGAAAAACATTTTTGGACTACATGATATTTCCGTGCGTACATGCCAGGAGTTTGGAACGTATATATTTAAAAATATTCTTTATAATAAAGGAATTTGTGAAGGATTGTTTTTATAATAGCAAATTGTTGACCTATTCAGCTGAAGAAGCATGAACTTACCAAGGTTGTACTGGAAGGAAACTATTGTTTTGCCAAGTGTGATTTGTGGTCCCTCGCCTCCTACAGTGTATTATTTGTAAAGTGATGACTTGGCCACATGTCATTCTTTTTACAGACCTTGTCTTGGAAACCAAACTCAGCAAAGCCATTATGTTCACAGAGGCATTCCTATAAATCAGTGTGGCTGAAGTGGACACATGGAGGCCAAAACATTGGGCCTGAGTGGGGATCCTACTGTTAGCAGGAATGTAGTAGAAAAACAGCCCAGGACTTTGCAATTCTCTGCAGAGAGGCAGTTTAGCATGGCATCGCCTCAGCTCTATGGCAACCATTTGGTCCGCCTGACCAGGGTTGTCAAGGCAATGAGACAAAGGGCATGATTGTTGGAGCGACTTTCCTCTGCTGAAAAGAGAGAGAGTTTATGCAAGAGAAAAACTCTTTGTCACTGGTGAAGTTGGGGATAGACACAGATCCCACTGATTCTAGAAAAAAATTGCTATAACCGTTGGAAATAATATTTGTTTACAATAGATGTGTGTTTCCCACCACTTCTTTGTAAAATCCGTCTTAACTGTGACCTTCTTAAAACATACAATGAGCACTCCAAGCTTAGATGAACTATTTGAACTGTGGTATTGTGAAGCAGTGCCCCCTGAATAATCCACTATGTTACTAATTACGGGAAGATAATGCAAAGAAAGAAAAAAAACATGCACAAATAAGTACTTCAAACTTTTACATTCAGCTGGACATCAAGTGAAACTACGACAAGTGAAACTAAAGATCAGCTTCATTCAGGATTATGACGATTCAGTTCTTACCTGACAGAAAAAACAGGAGCAGGCCCAGAAGTGTGAGAAACGCAGATATGTCCGTGTAGGTTTGTGTAGCTGTTGAGGTGGTCCTCCTCTCCACCTTCATCTTGGGTCCCAGGCAGAATCCCATCCCCTCTTAGTGAACATGGTTTATCCACCCTGGGCACGTTCCTCCAGCCGCTGCCTGCTCTGGCCTCTGCTTGTCCACACTGAGCCCCAGAGCAGCTCACCCAGCAGCACCCCAGTGACAACAGACAGTGTGTGTGTTGTGTGGCTCACTGGCTGGACCCCCGTCAGGCTCATGGGAACCAGCTTTACACACTTCTACCTGAGTCTGTATTTGTTTGTCACGTCATGCATGATCAAAATAAGAATTACTTTAATAGTTATAATGAGTACAGTAATAATTCACTCTTTATGAAGTCTGTAAAAGTATATAAATGTGTGTAGAGTATGTATGTACTTTGTAAATAATCTAAACTGCACAGCTATTGTGTTTTCTAAATACTTTACAGTTTCATTATTCATGCTCCAATAACTTTAAAGAAAACACTTCACAGATGATAGTGTCATTACAAAAGTGTCCATGAGATGGCGAAAAAACGTTATTACCAGTGTACTCTTTCAGGAATCCCCAAACTGTGGCCATACCTGCATGTGCCAGATCCTGTGACATTTCAGAAGCTAAGCAGGCCAGGACTAGTTAGAACTGTGATGGAAGACCTCTGACAACACCAGGTGCCGCAGTGGGACAGCTGTAAAAAGGCAAAACTGTCATTGTCTCCTTAAGCAAGACGTTTAACCTACATTGATTGGAGTCTGTGCGTTAATGATCGGTGGTTGTTGGAGGGGCTGATGGTACAGATTAGTAGCCTCATCTTTGTCAGCCTACCCCAGGGCAGTCGTGGCTCCATAAGTAATTGATCACCACCATGTACAGAGTGAATGAATAATGCTTTTAAGTTTCCAGATAAGTACTATATGAAACCAATTATTATTCAAATCATTGTCATCATCATCATCAATACCATAATTGTAGTGATTTCCTCAGACCATCCACACTACAACATGCTGTGCAGGACATCTGCTTTGTTCAGATAATCCAACAGATGAACTAACTAAACACTGTATGATAACGTTCTCTATGGCTACTAAAGTATAATGCCAGATATAGCCAATACAGACTCGAGTTATTGACAAGCAGGCGTTGTTTTGAATGCTGAGGCAGCTCTGTTTTGACCAGTGAGGCTTAATGTGTCATCCCACCCACTTTGATGGAGCAGTTTTGTTGTTGGTATTTATAAAGAGCATTTTTTTTCCCTGATTACAAAGAAAGCTCTTTACTGCAGAGGCGTAAACATGCCAGTCTTTACAAAAAGGCTATGAGCAGCTGCTGTCTGTCTCTGCACCCTGAAGTCAGACATCTGTGGATCTGACCATCAAAGCCTGCACACTTTCACCTTTGCCCCGGGATAAAATGGCTGGCCCCCTCTTCCTCTCATCTTCCTGAGCCCTTCAAATCAAGGGGACACTTTTCAGTCAATTGAAGAAGAAAGCAAGGACACAGAGGACCCTTGTGCCTGATTGAGACGTTCCAACACAACATGACCTCTAGTGAAGATGTGTAATGTTGAGGTATTTGCAGAGAAACTGTAAAATGTGTCGTCATTATCACAGCAGAGTATTATGTTAAAAAGGGGTTTGATTTATGTGATGATCTGATTTCCACCGCTTAAAGCTTTCAAACCAACTTGAATTATAGTTCCTCGCTCACAAAATAAAGTAGTTTAGTTCTATCGCATCATTGTATTTTTGCCTCCGTCACGCCCTCCCTCAGCCGCTGCGCTCTCAGCACAAAGTGTCAAATAAGGCTCTTTCGCAAGTTTGCAAAAGGTATAATGCATGTTGTGGTCTGATTTTTGGTCTTTCTGTTGGGACTAAAAACATACATTATTAAGGTAAAAAAGTATGGTACCTCAAACCATACGCTTTAACACTGGAGAAAACTGATTTATTATGTTTTCATCGAATCAAAACACTTGAATGAAATGTTGTTTAGCACCTTGTCAAATTTAGAAAAATTACAATGTGAAACCAATACATGACAGACTCATTACACACAAATTGAGATATATATAAAGATTGCATGTGTTTTAATGTCTATATCTATATACTAATAGAGTTTAACCCCCGCCAAAAATACATCTCAGAAAATTTGAATGTGTTGAATTCCAAATGAAAACAAACAAAGGCTTGGCATAAGTCAATTGTGTATTGGTTTCACATTGTAAATTGAAATATAAATGAACTTATACACAGAACAATTTTATAATTTCTTGAGTTTCACGTGTAAAGTGTACATCATATGAAGTGTATATCATGTCTACGTATATATTTATACTTTATACTTATTTGTATATAAATGATTCCAAAAGGAAGATGGTATAATCATGCTGACAAGCTGTCTGAGAATCCAATGACCCTGCTGCGTTTGAGCCAGCATTTCTCTATTGAATTATATTTGCGGCTCCGGGTTGGTGTAGCTGGAGGTGTGCAGCAACTTATTGATTGTTCACCCACAATTATCAAAGAGACAGGTGCATGTGGCAACTGCTCTTCGGGGAATGAGTAGGAGAAGACGATTTTTTCTTTTTTTTTTAACTCATGGGGGAGGTTGAGGAGGAGGAATGTCAGCCCTGAGAAGAAACGGCATTGTGGTTTGGTGTGCCGACTATAGAGACCACGGTGGCTCCTATATCAGTGCAGCTGGCGGCGTGTATCTGTGGGGAGGTGGGCATGCATGTGTGTCTATGTGCGACAGCAGCAGCAGCAGCGAGCGACTCAAGAGCAGTTTCCTGTGTGATTGTCAAGGCTTGTGCGCTGTCTGAGTGAGTGCAGTGCGCGGTGCATGGCTCAGATGTGTGTGGGTGGGCTGAGTGGGAGCGCTGGAAGACTGAAGATGCTCCGACCGTCAAGCACGCAAGACTGAAATGAAGAAAAGGCTAATTTGGCAGTTCTATTTCGTACACTAAGCTATGACAAAATCAGATCTAGTTGCACATCCAAGTCTGGCATGTTTTTTTGGAATGCAAATTATTGATAGCATTCAAAATAGTTATAATCAAAGGAAGTTTTTCAATTGCAGTTCCAGGTGAAAGATCAGCAATGATTCTCTCCTTGGGATATCGTCACATTGTGGAGGGCGGGACCCATTTTCACGGTTATCATTTATTTTGATTTGACAAAAAAATAACATATTTTTTGTGAGAGCGACGAGCAATTTTTTTTTTTTTAAAGAAGTAGAGAAAACATGAAAATATCCAGTATTTTCTTTGTGTGAAGTTTGTTTATAACTCATCTTTGCATCTGTGACCATTGTTTGGTTTGGATCTTTTTATGTTATGAAAATATATTTATTGAATATTAATTTCAGTATTTATTGTTTGTTTCTCTTGCGTTTAATCAAAAATGGCTCAGAGGTACGCTTATTTACCTATTTGGGTTGTAATTTTTGTTTAATGATTATAACCTTTGGGTTCCTGACAAAATGAGCCCATGATAGGACATATTGTGCTTTACAAACCTACATTGGTTGTGAGTCCCATTCATTTAAATAGTGTCGGATTGATAGAAAGAACAAACTTGTTTTTGAGATGTCTATTTGCAGTGGGTGTGTGTGTATATGTCTGTGAATGTGTGTAAATAAAAAACCACAGACACTCACTTAAACAGAAACTCATTTAAAGATGGGCATTAATATTTGAGGTGTATTTATTATTGTGTAATGCCATGATTCTACAGTCAACTTCAGCAAGATATAATAATTTTGACTCTGCAAACTCTAGCAATGCAATTCATATACCTGATTTAACATAAATCAAACAAAGCAAACCCATCTACACAACATCAGCAGGGTATATATCACCTATGTATTGTAGAATTTAGCGGTATGAAATATTACTGGGTCTGAAATTATGACATGCTTACTGCACTGGAAGATCTGATTTATAGAAAAATGCCTGAACAAAATGGATGAAAAGGAAACAATAATAAATGCATAATTTACGTAGATTCTAAAACTTTGAAACATAATATTTTTGACATATTGATTGTTAAGTAAGCAGGTTAAATAGCCTTAGGATAGATCCAAATACAAGCAGCAGCGAATAAACCATAGCCAGAAGACAAACTTATAAAAGCCACAATTTACAAACTGTTCAACGTTGATGCACCAAAGGGGTCTCCAACCTAAAGCTTGGGAGCTCACAAACCCCTTCCAAGTAGCTCCAAAAACCCCAAAAGTGTATCCTGAGGAAACACATTGGTGTCCCTCTATTATTTAAGGACTTTTTTTTCTAATCGGAGTGCTTTGGATCCTCTTTACAATAATGTTTTTATAATAAAATGTAAGAGAGGCTAGAGGCTTCTTTTCTGTGTGTTTACATTTTCCATCCAGTCCTTGATGAGCACCTGATTTTAGGATTAAAGGACTTCCACTCCATGACAAATAATCTGATGAATTACTCAAATTATATGACTTGAGTATAAATGCCACATTTTCACATTCACTAATAAATGTATAATAAATAGATAGATAGTTCTAAGACTGTGCCCCTATGGCGAGTTCAGCCTAATGACTCAATGTCTTTGGGTCGTTAAAAGGAAATCGGTCTCTCTGCCATATTTGTCCAGAAAAAGTATTGAGAAAAGGTTGGAGACCCCTGGTCTACACACATGGTCTGATCAGTCCAACACAAGCCCTGTTTAGCATTTAGAGGACATTCATTTTCACATTCACAGATCAGCTAAAAACTAGCACACTACCAGAAGTTTCACAAGTACATGCAGTGAGTTGCGAATTCTGGGTCAAAGACATCCTTAAAACTGTTGGAGAAGCAGAGGAGTGTTAAAGTTCACAAAATTCACCCTCCAAAACTGTTCTTTTTCTACAGCTAATTTGAGCTGAAAACAAATGACTCCTTGGGACGGGGGGTATAAAGGTATGTATCTGAAATCCGGCCCAGCTGGCTTACATCACTGTCTTCTCTCTGTCCCTTGCTTTTTCTCTCTTCATCATCCAGGTCAGTACTGGAGGTCACTGCTCTGGTTCTGAGGAGTCTCCTACTGTCCTCGATCCTCCGCTCTCTGAAACAGACACAGACTGTGGGACTGCACAGGTGCAAAGACTCTGACAACATGTGGCTGGAAATAAACTGCTTTAATATATTTTCGTATAGTTTAAAATGCACCTCTTTATCTTTATATTCTGTTTTATCTTCATTGTCTCTTTCAAAAAGGGGGTCTACACCAGTGGGAGGTGCTTGAGATGTTCAGTTTCTATCCGACAGCTCCATTAATTCTGCCTGGCCTCTTTGAGGCATACGTTGTTCCTGATGCACCTGCAGTTAAAAATACCTCTCCTGCATGGGGACTGCAACTGGGTTAAGGGATAAGTCTATGAAGTAAACTCATTTTTGTTGCTCATATCCCTAAAATTACACTGTTTATCTTGAAAAATGCTACATTAACAGTAAGTTTTTGCATTATCTACCTATTATTTACCTGCAAACTAGAACTGTGAGTAATCAGTGATCTGTGCATCTGGAGTCACTCTATACACTAATCACCGATCCAGTGAATGCAATGGAGTTGTAGGTTATTGTGTGGGCTGTTCCTCACCCCTAGTAAATGCCCTGTCTTCTCTGCTCATTACATTAATAATGCATTGCACACACATCACCCTTGAGTTTATTCTGTTGTCTCATTGCTGTATTTTGGCTCTTAACCCCGACCTGTGCCCTACATCCCCCGAGCTGCTCACCTCCTCCCCCTCTGTTTTGTCCTCAGGCTTCATCTTCTTGCGGGTCATGTGGCCGCGGAAACCTGCCTGGATCTTAGCAGCTGCCCTGTTGGCCTCGGGGTCATCTAACGGGATGTCCATGATGTCCTCCTCCTCCTGGGGCCGGCTGCACTCCTCCTGCTGTAGATCAAAACAGCAAAACAGGATCATCTGTCTCACACAATGTAATGTGGTGCATTCATGTGTTATAGTCGTATTTATATTGGGAATTTTTAAATTGGAAAACGAATGCACTTGCATATTCGCTAATGTGTATTTTAATATTTACTGAGGAAAAGATTTATGGAGATCATTAATAGCAATGTTTTACAAAAATGAGACATATCATGGATTATAAAGACCTCTGTCTTGTCATAAAAAGTAATTTTCCCAAAATTACAATCATACATATATATATATATATTAGGGCTGTCCAAAATAGCGCGTTATTAACGCGTTAACGCAAATCAATATTAACGCCGTCATTTTTTTTATCGCGCGATAAAAAATAAAAATAAAAAAAAACTTTACTTTTTATTGCAGACAAACACATATACAGAAAAAAAAATAGAAACAAAGAAAAGGACTAGTTCAGATACATTGTAGACAGAGATTACAAACAATACGTAGTTGGAGATACAAGGGGCCAAAGAAGAAACCCAGAAGGGCACATAGGAGGGGGGGGGGGGGCATGAAGTGGGAGATGGGGGGAGGGGTTAATAAAAAAGGCAATACAAGCAAACAGTATACAGTCATAGATATACCGAAGGTAAACAGAAACAGCATAGAGTATTCACATGAACAAATTTACAAAATATTTACAGATTGTTTATCATCATCATAATGACACCATGATGTTTCTATACAGTCTATGGTCTATACCCACACATACACACACACACCCACACACACACATTGAAGGGGCTTTTTGTTACCAATTATTTATTTTGTCATCCATTTATTGATAATTTTGCATCAAATGTTAGTGTGTAATATAACACTACACCTTGTTTTCAATAAAAAAAAAGCAATTGCACACAGCACGCAAATGTGTGACTAATTTGCGATTAATCGCGAGTTAACTATGAAATTCATGCGATTAATCGCGATTAAATATTTTAATCGTTGGACAGCACTAATATATATATATTGAAATTATATTCATACAATTACCAATACTAAAAGCAGGTATGTCAAAATTATATTCTATTTAGCGAAAGGGAAATGGGAGAAATCACACTCACACATCTAGTGTTCCCGCCCACCTGTTTGGGAGCTATCACCTGTCTGACTGACCACCACCTGTCTGACTGCTCACTCAACCACCACTCTTTTAAGTTAACACAAAACAAAAACAATAACTAGAAAAATACCTGACATATTGATACCAGTTGCACAAAGTTTTTACAATAACTAATTACTTTATACAAACCACCAAAAACACAATCCATCATACATTCTGGAAGTAGATTTAAGTAGTAAACAAAGCAGCTACCATCAATTTCTCTCTCTGCTCACGGTCAAATAAACAGCTCAAAAAAGTTCCGAGGCTATACTTACATTGCGACAGTCCATGGCTTACTTGAGTGAAGACCTCAGCTTGTGGTTGTCCTTAACTATGTTCTAAACCTCAGTGTTCTTTGAGTAGAATGCAGATGCCAACTGGTTCGTACAAACAATCACTGTATGTTCAGTAACAGCCGCTCACGCACAAAGTGAGAGGGAGAAAGCTGGAGAGAAACTGAGAGAGAGATATAGAGGAGAGGAGAGAGATGGTGGGACCTCCTACAAATATGACAGCATGTGTTCCATCTTTTCAGCGTCATTAAGGGTACTGGCCTGCTGTGATCACATTTCTGTAACTGACCTTTACCTAGTCGTGTTCTAAACAGCTCTGATTGTTGTCAGCTTTCAGTGCTGGACTCAACAGATGATGTATATGAAAATACTCTTTATAACATATGGCCACAAAACAATAGCTGACTTTTGAATTCTACTATAGCGTGAAGATAGCCCTGCGTTAGAATCGTAGCATGTTTTACACGACAAGGTGTTAAAAATGTATTAGAATCATTGAGCTATCAGCACTCTCCATCCCTCAGATCCCAGCTGGTACTGCCGCCCACACGCCTCTGCCAGCTTCACAGGCCAAACACAGGGAGAGAGAGAAACAAGCTACATCCATTTATCCAAGTTATATCTACAACATTTACACCCTCTCAGTGATTTCATCTGTCACATCATGCACTAAAAGGTTGTTATTGTCATGGCTTATTTAGCTTTAATACATCTAAATTGGTGTAGACATTTCCTACTGCTAAGTTCTCATAAATTATTCAGTTGTTTTGTTGTACTTGGGAGAATTGGGAGAATGTGTGTGCGACATGTGTGCGTGTGTGTATGTGTGTATATTGCACACATAAAGCCATCATTTATACATCAAGTGCTGCTGTATAATTTAAAGCGTACAGTTTTTATTCCATCCATAACCGACAGAAGTGTAAGTTGGGATCATAGAGAGATAACTTATTTTTAGTTATATTTTACAGTCACAGTCAAACAGTTATAAAAGCAAGTGCACAGACAAAAATGGTGCCTAGCAGAAATCAGCATCCCAGACTCCAATTAATTCCATGACAACGCGAAGAGAGAGCAGGATGGTGAAGAGTTACTATGGTAACATTGTTAGTACTTCTTTCTGCTCTCCCTCCCTCCCTGTTTGAGTCCAGACAAATTAGGACTCGCTTTTATTTTTCATGTTGTATTTTTTTTATTGGCCCGGCCTTTGGGAATTGCTATGAAATAATATTGTGAATAACAATTTGTAACCGTTTATTTTAAATGAAGTAAGCAAAGTGAATGACATTTCTCATAGGTGAATAAAGATATTTGAATTTGAATTGAAGTCATCTGGACAAAGTGTTCCATGTTTGTCCCACATCCAGGCGTCATTGTCAGATCTGACCAGTTATTATAAACCTAGTCTGTGATGATGGGCAAATTAAGGATTACGCTGCCTTCAGAAACATTAATTTTACTTGAACTAGCAATTGACAAATCATTGTGAAAAAAGGAGAGAACTGTCTCCCACTTTTTTTTATTTACATGACTTTGGTCCATAGAAGACTGCAGCTGTAAGTCTAGCAATAATTATATTTATGACACTACCTGAAATAAATTTGGCCTGACTTCATACTTTTCCTCTATGTGGACATCTTGCCAGCTCTCAAAACACAAGATGGAGGTGCATACAGGAGAAAAGGACCTTTGTGGAAAACATTTAAAGTTTACCTTTTCATTTATCTGCTTTTCTCGATCTGGAGAGTCTCGTTTCTCGTGGTGCAGGTCGTTGTCCTCTCCGTCAGCCCACTGCCCCAGCTCTGGATCATCATGCTCCAGTTCAGGTGAAAAATTCCCCTCTCTGATCTCAGACTCGGAAAACCCTTCCACCAGTTCCTCCTCATCAGAGTGCTGGTCCTCATGTGGGACAGTGAAATACTTCTCCAAACTTCCCTCTTCTTGTTCTTCTTCATTGCCCTCCAACAAATCATCCTCATCCTTTTCTTGAAGTTCTTGTTCTTCCAAGATTTTCACATTTTCATCAAGTTGTGTTAAATCACCAGCAGCATCTTCTGATTTCTGATGATCATCTTCTGTTTCTCCTTCACGTCTTTCTTCCACAATTCTACTTGTGTCCTCGGTTAAGTCTTGCAAACTTGAGTTTTTGTTGTTGTTTGGAACATTTACCTCTTCGTCTTCTTGATCATCTGTTTTAATATCGGACTGACGTAAAGTTCCTTCATACTCTACATCTGGTCTTTCTTCTTCCAACTGTTCTTCCTGTTCATTCAATATTTCTTCAGTTTTATCCATAATTTCTTTTATCATCAGTTCATTACTCTCACTTTGATCATTCTCTGGAACATCGTCAAAACTAATCTCAACGAATGATTCATGTTTGCTACTTTCTTCAAGAACGTTAGTGGCAGTATCATTTGCAGAAGTCATTTCCTCTTTCTGCTCAGTAATTTCCAACTGTGAAACTGGGGACTGTTGCCTGACTTCACTGGGCTTGAAAGAAGCTTTTTGAAACGCATCTTCTTCTATTACTGATGCTGCTATTTCCTTTTCTAAATCCACAGCACTAACAGTTACATTTCCTGGTTTGGCTTCCAGGTCTGTATTCTGCTGATCACCGTCGTCTGAAATCTCTATTTTTTCAGTTGCGGATAAGAATTGTGTCTCGTGCCTTTCTGACTCAGAGTTGTTCTGCTCTGAAGCGGCGCTGCTATTAATTTTATTGGATAATCCGTCAGCTTGTGTGGAAGACGTTGTGTCTGTGTCCAGAGGCCTTTTGGCTGACCCTGCATGAGTTATAACGGGAGACGGTTCATCCTCAGCAATGAAGTCTTGAGAGTTTATGCTGAAAGCCAAAATCATATTAAATACATTTTATTCTATATCTCAAAACAATGTCTATCTTCTGTGCTCCAATTCTTACTGGGTTAATGATGGGTTAATAATGTCAATTTATTGATTTAGATAATGATAATAGTTATCAGCCAAGTAAAACCATTAGGGTTATATCAAATTCCCACTATGGACCTAATTCTGTACCTCTGTGCACAGAATCAAAATAACTTAATGAACTTGGAAACATCTAAAATAATGTTCAGAGCGTCAATGATAGATACTTACTCACCATAGTAACAGAGTAAGAGGAAGCAAAAAATACATGTGCCTAAATAGGACTACTGTACTTTAAAATCAATTTGTATATTAGTGTGAGGAGTTAGTCTACTCTTCGAAACAACTTACCAGATGAATTAAAATGTGTAACATCATCTTGAGGGAAAGAGAGTGATGCCCTCGGCACAGAGCCAGAGATAGAGGAGAAGTGTAGGGTTAGATAGTGTTTGGGCCAGTGTCTGAGAGAGAAAGAGATAGAGACAGAGCCACAAAGAAAGAGAGAGACAGAGAGAGCGAGAGAGAGAGACAGTGTGTCTGTGTGTGTCTATCTTGTGTTGTATGAGAGGAATGGGTTGGAACCAAATACATACATCGTCTGCTTTGTCCAACTCCTTTTCAAACTGTGTTTTGCTGTTTATTTGTGTATCCTGTTTAATGCTCTTGTCTTTTGGTGTACAAGTAAATACATAATTACTATCAATATGTATTTATTAAATTCCTTTCTCTCATCTTCTGTGCCCTGTCCATATACTGCAGCTGTATGTGGTCCTTCCTGTTACCAGTGCAGAGCAAAACTCACTTAGAAGCAGTCCTTGATGTACAGTCCAAGGTCTGTGGGAGAAGAAAAGTTATTTCTATCATTAACAAAATGTAATAAGAAACAGGAACAAAGTATAAAAGGAAGACCAAGGCCACCTTGAACAAGTGATTGTTATAATATCGATCTTCTGATTTGGCAGCCCACTCAGAGGGATCTGTTCCTCTTTCTGAAAAAAAAGAAAAATAATAGAAAGAGAAAAAGATGAATTTGATCATTTTCGCTTAAACTGGGCCGGCAGGGTTTCCTTACCTTCTCTCTGCTTGAGCAATGTATCAAAATATTCTGCAGCATATTGTGGAATATCTTTAGGCTGGTCCCGAAGAATTTCTCTCGTTAATCCCTCCAGTATCGCACCAAAACCACGGGGAACTCTCAGATGAGTGTTGGAGATAGGCATGGCCATGGTGAAGGGATCAGCTCCGGGGCTTTCAAACCACGAAAGTAATATCTTGTTTCAAACGTGAGAGTGTTTTAGTATTGCCCGTGTGCCCGAACAAACCTTAATGATACTTCTGCAGTTGACGATAACGAGTAACGTTTCTGTTTATGTTGTTGCCAAGTAACGCTCCAGCCCTACGGCAAGTAACGAGGCACATTCTTTGATTCCACATTTCTTATATATTTATTGTCTACATTACAAAATTACAGTTTTATTACAGTTTTACAATGAGCCAAAAAAACCACAATCAAATATAAGTGATAGAGAGCTAACTAAGGAGAAGAAGTAAGGTCCCAAGGCCACAGAAGGACGGAACCATAAAAAAGCGGCCCCCCGGAGCCCTCAGAGAAGTGCGTGACAGTAAGTGCGTACTATTAAATGTGGCACATGGAAATATTTTATCATCCACAAAAGTTGCAAAAGCATTTATAGAAAAGCTATAGCGATTAATGATATATGCCTTTTTTATAATATACAGTCTATGCTTTTTATGCATACAAGGCGTCTGAAGGTTCTTCACGTATACGTAATAACTGCGTAGTCGGAGCTAGTGCTCATCTTCCGGCCCACTTGTCTGGGCACGTGCAGTGTGTCAGCGGAGCGCGCGGCCTGCAGATGACCCCCACGTGACCACTGCAGAGGAGACATGTCCATCAGCTCCTCGTCCAGTGAAGACATCACCCTCAGATAACTCCATGTCCAGTGAATACATCAGCCACAGATAAGTGTGGGACTCTTACCTCTCTGCGACCAGCTGAACTGAAGTAAATGGCTTGAGAGATGTCTGGTGTGCTGGCCCCTCGTACGCTGATAACTATGTCAGCATATGCCACCTCAGGGTCGCCTTGCATTTCTAGGGAATACAATATGAGTTCAATGTTAAACTTCTCTAGGACCTTTGTGTCCTACTCAAAGAAATGCTTACTACCTGGAGTTGGAATTCTCAGTTTCACTCTTTCACTTTGTTTTGAAGTTGGCTCTGTAAATGATTTAATTAAGTATTTTTTGGTTCATGTTGTTAAACAGTTTCACTTGACCCACCCTGTATGAGTGACAGAGATGTACTGGAAGCCCGAGGTGAACTGTTGACACACATTTGCCTTAAATAGATGTTATCCAAAATAGTCAAGTATTGTATACAGTACTCACACAGGTATGTTCGCTGGCTGGTGCTCTACATCAGTGTCTCCCAAAGTGGGGTCCGCGGCCCCCTGGTGGGCCGCGAGGGTACTGCAGGGGGGCCGCGGGAGGTCATAAAAAAAATAAAAAAATAATATAATTATTTAATGTTAAATTTATATTGTTTTGTTTGTAATATTAAAATATTTGTGTTCATTATTTGACTTGAATAATCCACTGTAATCATTTTTGTATTACAATGTTTGTAGCAGAGGCTATTTCCCCAAAATAAAATAACCAGAAGAGCCTATACTTAATGTTGTCTTCTTGGTTATTATTTTGGGGGGCCACGCAGACCCGTCAGATTTTTAAGGGGTCCTCGGTGTTACTGAGTTTGGGAATGGCTGCTCTACATAATTGAAAGAATATTATTTGCAGCAGATAATCATCCATTTGACAAAAAATAACTATGGTACACTACATACACACACTATATTTAATGAAATCACTTTTACCATTTCGGCGCTGTCTTCTTCGAGTAGTGCACAGGTAGACTGCCAACGTTGCTAGAACTAATACTACTGTAATGGCCACTCCTGCTGAAATCTTCATTCCATCATTTATCCCAGGTTGTTCTAAACAAAATATAAGTGTTTAGAAAAAATAGAAATGACTAGTAGTGTACCCATTTTTTTTTTTACTTACCAGTTACACTTAAAATGTTGGACGCAGATTGGAGCGAGACTATTGGGCACATGTCACAAAATGAAGCATTGTAAAATATGGATTAATCTTTATTTAAGGATAGCTTTTTACAAACAAATCCAAAAGTCGTTTCATATTTGAATGTATTATTAATTCATGAATACTGTTTGTAAGTGGTTCTCTTATGCAGTAGCTATGCCACAGCTGCCCTGAGACAAGCTGATCACCACCACCGACCATATTTAAAATATACTCAGAGAAGACCCACACACATAGCCTGGTCGTACCACACCATAGTACAAATTACATTTCGCACTAAGGTCTGGAGGTGCTCCATTGTGCTCCGTTAACAGGTGGGAGAGGTTAACTCCTTTTGCAGATTGAAACAATCGGATCTGAGTTTACCGTCACGTATGTAATGCGCCCGATGGCTAGCATTTAGCCCTTTGCCGCTAATGGAGCACGTGGGGAGTAGCGCCTCTTGCTCCGGCTTCAATTTCTAGATAGAACCAGACCGGATTACTTTACTATCGCATTTTTCGCCATTGCCAAACTACAACCTGCCCGTTCGACGCAAACTCTTAACGTCAACCACAACTAACTACAACACCCACCTCCCACGCTCTCTGATTGGTTGGATGGAATTCAACCGATTGTAATCGCTAACACAGGGACCAGACCCAGACGTTACATTCAGTGAAATGATGATTGACCGGAGTGTACGGATGGCTCAGGTCAGGCCACCACACACGGTCCAGGAATCAAATCAAGCACACTTTTTTGACAATTAGGTATTCAATTCATTTTACTGATACCAAAAATAATAATATGCGGTCTTTACCTTTTGTAGTTTCGGTTATGTGTGCTACTGCATGGGCTTGTTCTGTAAATATATTTCAAGTGATTTTGTAACTTCCAAACATATTTAGACAAATGCTTACTGAAAAAATAGGACAAACACCTTTGAGTTTGAGCAGCACAACACGTTCTGTTTTTGGCTGAATTTCTGTTGAATCACTAATTTCACTGTAACAAAAGTATTCTTTCAGATCTTTGATGGTGATGTTTTTCAATGTAAGATTCAAAGTGCAATTTGTGTTGATTGTCACTGGCATGCGTCTTCTGGCTCCTTTAGTGATCCAATAGCCGCGAACAAAACCAGAAGAACAATCGTAAGTGCAATTAATTGTTATTGAATCTCCTAACTCCACCAAAACTGTGTCAGTGTCCATCAATGTTTGGCTGTCACAACTTACAAAATCTGCAAAAGAAAAGCTGCGTTAAAATTGAAGTCCATTTATAAATAATGTTATATGGTCGTATGTATTAGGGCTGCAAGATATTAGAAAAATATCTAATAGCAGAGAGAGAGAGAGAGAGAGAGAGAGAGAGAGAGAGAGAGAGAGAGAGAGAGAGAGAGAGAGAGAGAGAGAGAGAGAGAGAGAGAGAGAGAGAAGGTGACGCAACAGATTCAGTGTTCAGAAGTGATGCCATAGAGACTTGCGAGTCCCAAAACCACGAGTCCGAGTCAAGTAATTTAGTCTTAAGGGGATGAGTCTAGGTCGAGTCTCAAGTCTAAAGGGGATGAGTCCGTGTCGAGTCTCGAGTCTTAAGGGGACAAGTTGCCCCTCGACCCGGACACGCAAGTCTCGCAACTTAAGTGCAAGTTGGGCTCTGTCTGTGAAACATAAGGAATACTGTTCAGAGAGAGCAACTAATTTGTACATATTTCAGAAAACGGTTTTAGAGTTCTAACCTATAGTACAATCATTTTGAATAGTTCAAATTAAAGATTTACTCCTGATTGTTGAATAAAACTAAAAATGAAACTTTTTTTTGAGAAATCTGGGTGATTCAGTCATATATCACGTATATCAAGTATTAGTCAATGAAAAAAAAACTAAAAACACCAATGTAGAGGAAGCGAAAACTCTAGGTGTAATAAACCTAATGTAAAGTAGTTTTTGTCTTTTAACCAAAACTTCTTGCATTTTGGCTGCCCGACAACAAGACACACTTGCTTGGTCTATTGACAAAACCGCAAAATATTCTCAAATGTTCCCAAAAATTTCAAATGATCTTTTGCGTATTCCTTCAGTCTCTTTTTTTGTTGCAGAAAATGGAATAATAAGTCTTTACCATTTGCGAATTGCGACTATAAAAACAGCAAATGTATGGTTTGATTTTGACTTATCATGCAGCCCTAATGAACGCGATCGAAAACATACAATATAATGAACAGCACTCTTACCACAGGATGCACAAAGGAACACAAACAGTGTTACTGCTACGAACGACATTTTTCAGTCTGGGGTAATTTTCAAACGAAGCGTGACACAACGGCAGCAACTGCAGGTTTTAAGCTCAAGCAGGATGTGGTAATGGTTTATTGAGGATCTCATTTTCCATTTTTTATCTGAATGCTTCAACACAGCCTGAATTGTACTGAAAGTTTTATGCTTTGTTATGAGAACAGATTTACCATTCAAAAGATGTAACTTTGTCTTGTGTTGTTCACCACTATAGAAACAGCCCTGCATATTCCTTATGCTGAACCCCATACATTCCACTACCAATAATAACAATAACATTTGACATTGTTCATGCAGAATAGCTGGAGTGAAAGATGTTTTGATGGCCAGTTGCTGTAGAACATATTCATGCATTATAAACATGCTTGGTAGAATTACCGGCCACCATTATCAGCAGCAGAGTGCTTTTGGTCATCCTGTTACATGCTCTTGTTTCACTTGCAACGACATAAGCCCATTCACTTTCAGCCAATGGACCATTCAGGACTAGAATAATGTTTCAAAACATGTTCCAAATGATGTGTTTTTTTCTTATAACACATTATAGCCACACATCAGGTAAGCAATCTTTCTTTCTTTGAGACATATTTCTTGAACTATTCATCACTTAAATTCCCTCTGCTTAGAATCAATAGAAGCAAGTGCCGACCAGGCTTTGGACGAAGCGCTGCATCGGTGCCCAGAAGGAACATATTTCTCCCACCAGATTTGTTTGGAGTGTCCTTCTGGTCATTTGTAAGTTGTACCATGTTTGTTAATTTTAAGTTGTTGTTATATGTCATTAACATATGTGTTTAGTTGCCTGGGAGATGTCCACGCTCCACAAAGGTGTCCGGTGGGAACATTCAACCTTTACACTGGAAAAGGCCAGAGCAAAGCCTGCGAAGTATAGTCATTTTTGGAATATATATCTGTAATATAATAATAATAATAATAATAATAATAATAAAAATAATGATAACAACAATATTAATAACAATAATTGTTTTGTGAAGCCTTGTTTTCCAGGTCTCATCAGCTCAGAAGATCGAGCAGACTGTAGGGTGTGTCCATCTGGATTCTCCTGTGATGTAGACAGTGGGACACTGTCATTGTGTCCCTCCGGTCAACACTCTCCAGAGGGTGCACTAGACTGCCTGTTCTGCCCAGTGGACTCTGTATGTAGCACAGGCTTTCCTTTCAAGGTAAAGTCTGAATTAATTCAAGCCGTTTCATGTATCAGAGTCATGGCAGTGTTTTGGGCTAAGGAATTTAGCGTGCATGAATCATTACATGACTAATCACCATGTTTGAAAAAAACAGAAGGAAAAAGAAAACATTACCATGGTGCCATTATGGCACCACCTGCATGTGAAAGTTAGATCATTCCAGATCTCTGAAACTAAGCAGAGAAGGACCTGGTTAGTACTGTGATGGGGGACATCTGGGAGCACCAGGGGCCACAGTGGAAGCACTTAATCCCCATTGCCTTGAATGAGTCTATTGTTTGTGTGAATGTTGGTGGTGGCAGCCCCTCGCTTCTGTCGACGTGTCCCAGGGCAGCTGGGGCTACAGTAGTAGTTTATCTCTGTTTTTGAGTGTCCAAAATGTTGCATGTAAATAAATGTTTTATAAAGATACAAAGATATTTATTTACCTTTATAGAAAGTGACACTTTCATTTAGCCAGTGGTGTTAAGGATTTTCTTTCCTGTCTGCAGTGTGACCCTGGAACAGAGCCAAACTTAAATCACACAGAATGCATTGAGTGTCCACCAGGCTTCTACTCCTCCATTTGCTCCATCAAGTGTATTCTATGTCCGGCAGGTATACTTTCCACACTGTGGGAAAACACTATAACATTCTGTCTCATTTACACACATAAGTTTATGCATTTTCTTTAGGTAGTTATTGTCCAGTGGGAGGGATGTCTTACCCTCTCCCCTGTGCTCCTGGTTGGTCATCGACAGCAGGTCAGATTAAATGCCACTTGTGTAATGACTCCTCCCCAATATGTAGGGGGGCAGCGTCTCGCTGGAGCCCCTCTGTGCTCAGATCCAGTCCTCCCGCCGCTTGCCGACCGGGGACTTACAGGGATCCACAAGAGGAGGCAGACTGTGTGCTGTGCCCAAAGGGTATTTGTACAGTTTAATCCACTTACCCTCAAATATTAATTGAATGTTTAATGTATTGGTCCACCCTCAGGTTTGTTCTGTGTGGACGGTTTGGCTCTGCCCTGTCCTGCAGGCACATACGGTGCTAAAGAAGGGCTTCAAAGGTTAAAAGACTGCACCGTCTGTCCAGCAGGTTAAATACTTCTTTATTTGCTTGATATGATATTTTATCAGATGAGCGCCAACCCTCATTAATCATCATCAGGTCATGTTGGAACAAGTTGTATTCTTTTCTTGTCAGTCATTGTAGGAAGCATCACTTCCATCTAGACTTTCTTTTGATTTTAGTGAAATAATTGGGGTCAGCTGTCACATTCAAATTAGTAACTCCTAATCTTGGCAAGATTACAGTTGGAAAGACATTTTGAATGAAAAGTCGAAACATTACGAGATTAATTAAAAATATAAGCATAAACTGAATTTTTTAAGAGAATAAACTCAAAATCTGATTAGAATAAACTCAAAATGCTATGAAAAATAACTCGAAAGGAGAATAAGTCCGAAAAATTCAGTCAGTGCATAATGTAGACAATGGAGCTCCAGTTGCAGCTAAACTAACAAAGACGCCTCATCGAGAGTTCACTGAAGCTCAGGAGGTTTTATTCTTTCATTTACTCTTAAACTGATGAACTGATTTAAATATTCAATATTTACTTAATATTTATATTCAGGGCAACAGTGGCCCAGTTGGTAGAGTATTGGCCTTTGGTCCTGAAGGTTGTGGGTTAGAGCCCATCACAAGACCCACTTCACGACTCCCACTGATGTCTGCCATTGTGTCCTTGGGCAAGATCAAGGCTCCTCTGGACTGACCAGCTGCTGGGGGATCAGTGGTCTGGTGGTCTGTGAATTGGGTGCAGCTCTGACTGCCACCACCCCGACCCTGAAAATAGATTAAGGGGTAGAAAATGGATGAATATTTGAATATTATTCTCATATTATCCATCCATCCATTTTTTTCCGCTTCATCCGTTGCCGGGTCGCGGGGGCAGCAGTCTAAGCAGAGACGCCCAGACTTCCCTATCCACACACACCTCCTCCAGCTCGTCCGGGGGGACCCCAAGGCGTTCCCAGGCCAGCTGAGAGACATAGTCCCTCCAGCGTGTCCTGGGTCTTCCCCGGGGCCTCCTCCCGGTGGGACGTGCCCGGAACACCTCCCCAGGAAGGCGTCCAGGAGGCATCCTGGACAGATGCCCGAGCCACCTCAACTGGTTCCTCTCGACGTGGAGAAGCAGCGGCTCTACTCCGAGCTCCTCCCGTGTGACCGAGCTCCTCACCCTATCTCTAAGGGAGCGCCCAGCCACTCTGCGGAGGAAGCTCATTTCGACCGCTTGTATCCGCGATCTCGTTCTTTCGGTCATTACCCAAAGCTCATGACCATAGGTGAGGGAGGGAACGAAGATTGACCGGTAAATCAAGAGCTTTGCCTTTCGGCTCAGCTCCCTCTTCACCACAACGGTCCGATACAGAGACCGCATCACTGCGCACGCTGCACCGATCCGCATGTCAATCTCACGCTCCATCCTTCCCTCACTCGTGAACAAGACCCCGAGATACTTGAACTCCTCCACTTGAGGAAGGACCTCTCCACCCACCTGGAGAGGGCAAGGCACCTTTTTCCGGTCGAGCACCATGGCCTCGGATTTGGAGGTGCTGATTCTCATCCCAGCCGCTTCGCACTCGGCTGCAAACCGTCCAGTGCATGCTGTAGGTCTTGGTTCGTTGGAGCCAGCAGGACGACATCATCCGCAAAAAGTAGAGATGAAATCCTGTGGTTCCCAAACCGGACCCCCTCCGGCCCCTGGCTGCGCCTAGAAATTCTGTCCTAAATACAGTGAACAGAACCGGTGACAAAGGGCAGCCTTGGCAGAGGCCAACATGCACCGGGAACAGGTCTGACTTACTGCCGGCAATGCGAACACAGCTCTGACTCCGGTCCCTGTACGGACGGCCCTCAGCAGAGGACCCCGGACCCCATACTCCCGGAGAACCCCCCAAAGGACACCCCGGGGAACACGGTCGAACGCCTTCTCCAAATCCACAAAGCACATGTGGACAGGTTGGGCAAACTCCCATGAACCCTCGAGTATTCTCATATTATTTTAATGTTATTCACATATTATTTCAATGTTATTCTCTTAACATTTTGAGTTCAGGGACAAAAACCCAATGGACCAACAACAAGGGGAGAGGAGCACAGAGTTTAAATACACACATGGGAAACACATGAGGACGGGACAGGCAGTCAACTGAACAGACACTGTAACACTGAAAAGAATCAATACAATCGGAATAAAACCACAAATTAATCAAAAGAGTCCACACCAGTGATGTCCCCCCAGATTTATTCAAGTCATATTGTGATAATATTTGCATTCTGAATAATGAATTTAAAGAATTATCACTTAAGGAGCAGTATGTAAAAATCTGGCCAAAAGTGGTACTGCAGTCACAGTCAATATTTTGTAGTCCTCTCCTACTCTCCCTGACTCAGGTTGCCAGATACACAACAAATCCATCAGCAAACACAGGGAATAATTTTATCAGTTGTTTGTCTGTCTCCATTCACATTGCCATGAGGCGTGCTAATGTTGAATGATTTTTTTTGTTTTTTTTGTTTTTTTATTTGGACATTGGAGATCAGAAAAACATAATAAAAGCAATGCAATTATACATAGATAATGCAAAATAAATAAGCAATTGATGTCCAAAATAGGATTGGGAAGAATGGATGTTGGAACATATTTCTTCAGAGTATCAACATCAGGGTTTCCTCCAGAGGATATCACCCTTCAATTTTATTTATTCCCTATTTTTTAGACATACATATATAAATCCCACATCAAACAGAGACAAACATTAGTTTAATGGAGTACATGTGGTCTCAAATGATTCTTTCTACAATTAAGCTTTAATCTGCAAAAAACGTCTTAATTATTGTCTTTTACCTGATTTTTAGCAATTTGTCACAAAATGCAATATTATGCAACGTAACTCCACCTGGAGTCAAACCCGGGTAGCTATTAAGTAAGTAAGTAATCTTTATTTATATACCGCCTTTCACAGACCAGAGTCACAAAGCGGTTTACAATTGTTATTTTTGGGCACTTGTCCACTCACTCCACACAGAGATGGAGCGGGGTCGCCGAACAGGAGGCGCATGCCAGACCTATTGTACATATTTTTAGTGGTAGGGGAAACCGGAGTACCCGGAGGAAACCTAGCTGGCATCAAAGCCCTATGTCTTAACCATTAGGCCACCGTTGCACATAATAAATTCCTAGGAGGAAAACAGAGTCAATCGATCAAGTTTTCCATCACACAAAAACTTGTGTCCGCTGTCTCAATTTTTCAAAGGCGTCCCGATATAAATCCTTGTTTTAGTCTTTGTTTTGTCATTAATGATTTTAGAGTCATAACAAGACCTTTTTAGTTCTGCGGCCACATGTTATTTTACCAGTGAGATTAGCCGTGAGGAGTTCTGGCAACCCGGATCACAGACTTCCTGATTGGCGCAACAGCGGCGGGTGGGACATCGAAATCAAAACAATAACATCTTTTACGGGTCGTAAAACTAATTTTGATTTTGAAATATCTCGGCTGATCTACTGTTATCAGTTAAAGATGTCTTCGGTGCCATATAATGATGACTTGACATGCAAATATTACATACTTTAAATAACATTGAGTTCAAACCTATAGTTTTTGGCTTTTTGTTTGGTCATACTTCATTATTTACATTTCAAATCACCCAGTAAAGTAACTACTGCAGAACATTTATAATTTAGAAGGATATTTTTGTATAAACAGAAGGATGCAGAGGACTCTGGCTCTGGAATAAAACATGGTATTCCTCAACAGCATCAGTGTTATAACAGAATAAAACAGATCTGTGCCAGTTATGAGTAACTGTAAGAATACTCATTTAATTTCTTCTCTGTTGTTAATGTAGTCCAACAATGCTTTTCTCCAGGGTTCTACTGTCTGGAGGGGGGCTCACAGAGGCCCACCTCCCAATTCTTGTGTCCACAAGGCTATTACTGTGAAGAGGGCACCGCCACCCCGCATGGGTCACCTTGCCCGGCCGGAACAGCAGGCGAACAACTGGGACAAACAAGTAGGGCAGCCTGCAAAAGATGTAGAGAGGGACGCTTCTGTCCGGCTGGTGAGTCCACTCACATTGGCCCTTATTTATGAAACTTGCGTACGGCCAAATCAAGGTGTAAATGAGGCGTAGGCAAATAATTTACACTTTTCGGCAGTCAATAGGTGGTGTACATTTTACACCCATCTCAACCTTCATCACAACACGCCAAAACAGACATGGAATTCGACCACAATAAACATAGTCCCACTCGCAAAATTATAAGCTGCGTTTTCATTGAGGATCATGTTTCGAAATTTGAATTTGCGCATCAGAAAAAGTCTAATGGAAACACGCACATTTCATGATGAGGACCCTCTTCTGTTTCTTCGTTTTAAAATCTGACTTGTTTGTATCATTTTCATCTGTATGTTTGTTTGTTGTGATCCTGGTCTGTGAAAGGCGCTATACAAATACACTTGACTTACTCACTAACTTACGCATCATCTATTGCTTTGTAAATCTGTGGCAGGCCATGCGCTGCGTAATTATGCATTTGTTTTTCTTCATTCACCTCTGGCAAAGCAATGTGGTTTTCCTAAGTTTTGTGCATAAAGCCCCATAAACGCGCCAATGGTCTTGCTCTCTCAGAACATTCTCAGCCACTGCCCTGCACTCCACATGTAGCAGTGAAAGGATGGCAACGCCCTTATCTGTAGGAACGGGCTCACGGGCAGTGGTTCTGGGGCAGTGCGCAGCAGGTGCCAAAGAGGTCCCACTGCATCACTGCTCAAATGTTGTGCGCGTCATTCAGACGTTTTGGATCCAGAGTTTCTCTGTGAAATCACGGACACTTTCCAAATGCTTCTCATACGCATCTTTCTCTCTCACAGAGATTGCTCAGACGCTTCACCCGAGTAATGATGCGAGCCACCGCTGAGGCCGAGATATTAACATTTATTCATTCATTCATTCATTTATTCATTTTTATATTTATTTATTTTAGTGCTGTCCAAAATATCGCGTTATTAACGCGTTAACGCAAATCAATATTAACGGCGTCCTTTTTTTTATCGCGCGATTAATATTTTTTTTTTTTTTTTTTTTTACTTTTTATATCAGACAAACACATATACAGAAAAAACATAGAAACAAAGAAAAGGACTAGTTCAGATACATTGTAGACAGATTACAAACAATATGTAGTTGGAGATACAGGGGGCCAAAGAAGAAACCCAGAAGGGCACATAGGAGAAGTGTTGTGCGTGAACGAGTTCAAAAGAACGCGTTCATTGAACACGCTCATTTTTTCGTGATCATTGAACTGAACGCAACACATTTTTAAAAAAAGAACTTGAACGTGAATTAGTTCATTTTATGTGTCATGAACGGCAGACATCACTATAAACGTTGGAATCTGTTTTCTCTTTTAAAACGCAACGAGAGAAAGTTCCTCCCTCCTGTATTCTCGCACTTTTTCCGTCTAAAAATCTAATCTAAAAATTCCTACGGTTTCCACCGTCTGTGAACGCACCCCGACTCCGTGTTGCGGTGCGGCGCTGTGAGCTGGTGCTTTTCACATGTGCCCGAGTCGTGATGAAAACACAGGGTGAGTTAGCGACAAAGTTTACACCGTTTACATTTGACATAAAGTATAGACACACGCACTGCAGCGCATTACTGTCTGTAGTTTATGAGCAGAGATGGGGCAACTCCGTTTGGCTCCCATTGAAAACCATGTAAATCTTGTCTGTTTTGTAGTCAAAAGGCTCTCCTCCTGTGGGTGTACAGGACATATATATATATATAGCTCGTAGTGTGAAAAAAATATGTATTTATCTCACGAAAAAAGTAAAATGAACTGAACTTTGAACTAGTTCAGAATTAAAAATGTGAACTTTGAACGTGTTCTGTTCACTTTGAGCATGTATGAACTGAACTTGAACTAGTTCAGAAAAGCTGTGAACTGGCACAACACTGCATAGGAGGGGGGGGGGGACATGAAGTGGGAGATGGGGGGGAGGGGTTAATAAAAAAGGCAATACAAGCAAACAGTATACAGTCATAGATATACCGAAAGTAAACAGAGAAACAGCATAGAGTATTTACATGAACAAATTTACAAAATATTTACAGATTGTTTATCATCATCATAATGACACCATGATGTTTCTATACAGTCTATGGTCTATACCCACACATACACACACACACCCACACCCACACAAATGTGTGACTAATTTGCGATTAATCGCGAGTTAACTATGAAATTCATGCGATTAATCGCGATTAAATATTTTAATCGTTGGACAGCACTAATTTATTTCTAATGTTCTATTTTTAAACACGTAATCTCAAGTAAGTAAGTACTCTTCATTTATATACCGCCTTTCACAGACCAGAGTCACAAAGTGGTTTACAATTGTGGTCATTTGTCTCTCACTCCACACAGAGATGTGAAGTGAGAGACAAATGACACGCACTCCTGAGTTTATTTACTAATGTGAATAAACTCAGGAGTGCGTAGCAAAGGCTTTTTGAGGCTTCCAAACAGACTTCTTGGCCGACTTCCATGCTGACCTGTCAAAAGAACAGGGCGGGAAACGGGCGGTTTCTGAATATTTATAGCCGTGACTTTCATATATACGCTAGTTTTGAGCGCGGCATTTAAGAACAGCCTCAGGTGTGTACGCTCGGATCTGGGCGGATCTCACACGTTCATAAATCTCACGTTGGATCTTGCGTATTTTGAATCTACACAAAAAAATACACCCTTTTCTGCGCACGTTTCATAAATGCTATAGAATGACAACATTTTTCTACTTTTTAAAGATATCAGTATTTAACCACATGAATATCAGGCTCCGCAGGTCCTGGGTTGCCCTGTGCACGAGGAAGATACTGTCCAGCCGGCACTCTCGAGGAGATCATATGTCCTCATGGAACTTTTACTCCTCATCAAGGAGCAATAAGTGAGACATTTCATTAGATTAAAGTAGATTGGACATGCAATTACAGTCACATTTTAATGTTTTTTATTCCATTGTAAACTCCACAATAACCTATAGGGCCATGGCTTTATCATTAAAATACATGTTGGAACTGCAAGTTTATGTATGTATGTCTTTTTTTATAGGACAGTGTACATTCACTATTTTTTTTAATGCTAATGTAGTAAATGTCCATCTGCTGTCCTTATATATTATGTAGAAACAACATATAGCAGTTTCACTTGAAAAATTAGCTTAAAGCATTATCCTTGAATTTTTTGGAAACAATGCCATATTTACGCTCTGTTTGTTCTTTATCTAATCAATAATCAACTTTTAGGTATCAAAGACTGTTTGAAATGCCCTGCTGGTTTTTACTGTCCTGCCGGTACAAGCGATCCGGTACCCTGCCCATCAGGCTCTTTCAACCCCCTGGAGGGGCAGGGGGAGCTGCACGACTGTCGGGCCTGCTATGCTGGAAAGGCCTGTACACAGGTCGCTCTGAAAGCTCCTGATGTGGATTGCATGCAAGGGTAACTTTTTGAATCATTATAGAACATTGATAAGATATTAAACTGGTTGTTCTGTCTTTGCAGATATGTGTGTCCCCCTGGTTCTTCAAAACCTAACTCCCAGAATAATGCTTGTCCACCAGGAACATTGAGCAATCGCACCGACCTCACAGACCGGTCACAGTGTCAGCGCTGCCCGGCCCGCTATGCCTGTCCTCGAGGTACAAAATAAGATACAATGGTCATAGATTATTGGAATTGTTTTGTTGTGCCTGATATTTCTGAATCTCAGTGTACATGCTTATAGTATATTACATACAAAGCTTAATTCCCTTGTATTATCAAAAGTCTCCTTTTTCATATTACTATAACTATATTTCTTTCTGCTGTTATGACAGGCACTGGTGGTATCCAGAGACCTCCAGTCTCATGCTTTGCTGGACATTACTGCCCCTCAGGGACAATGTTCCCCACACAGCATAAGTGCCCCGTGGGGACATGGAGTGGACAGAGTGGATTAGAGTATGAAAGCGAGTGTCAGCCATGCCCACGGGGGTGGTACTGCCTGGCTGGGTCTGCAGCTCCAACTGGCAGATGCAGCTCTGGACATTACTGTCCTGAGGGTATGCATATGTGTGACCAAAATTTCATTTTACACATAATACATTAAACTCTTTGTTGTGAAATATTATAATAGCTGTAATATTTGTTATCAAAATGCACTTTAATATGTTCATAATTTACCTAACGTGACTCCAGGCACTGCATATGGCAGTCAGTTTCCATGCCCGGTCGGGACCTATAGTATTCAAATGGGCAATAGACACATAGATGACTGTGTGATCTGTCCTGAAGGCTTCTTCTGCCCAGAAGGCACATCAAAACCATCTCCCTGTCCACGGTAAGGCTATATCAAAGCACCTTCTGAGGCTCATGTTCAATATCCTTTATATTGTGTACTCTCTCTAGAGCTACATATCAGCCTCATAAAGGAGGTCAAAAACAGGATGAATGCTTGGTCTGCCCTGCAGGCTATTTTTGCCCTCACTCAGCCACTGTGAACCCCAGAGTGTGTGGAGTTGGAAGTTACTCCGTAAGCATACAGACACTTCATTAGCATTCACATAACAATATGGCTACTCTTAAGGCAAGGCAAGGCAAGGCAAGTTTATTTGTATAGCACAATTCATACACAAGGCAACTCAAAGTGCTGAACAAGATAGCATTAAAATCATAAATAATTACAGAACATTAAAACGAAAGATAAAAATATAAAATCCCTCAGTTGTATGCACAGCTAAACAGCACCGTTTTTAACCTGGTTTTAAACATTGTCAGAGAGGAGGCCTGTCTCACATCTTCAGGAAGATTGTTCCAGATTTTAGCAGCATGAATCTGAAAAGCAGCCTCCCCATGTTTAGTTCTGACTCTGGGCACTAACAGGAGTCCAGTCCCTGTGCTCCTCAGAGTCCGGGCTGGTTCATATGGGACTAACATGTCACTAATATATTTTGGTGCGAGGCCATGGAGAGATTTGTACACAAGCAGAGCTGTTTTAAAGTCTATTCTCTGAGCCACAGGAAGCCAGTGCAGGGACCTGAGGACCGGACTAATGTGGTCGTACTTCCTGGTTCTAGTCAGGACTCGAGCTGCTGCATTTTGAATGTACTGCAGCTGTTTTACAGCCTGTTTGGACAGACCTGTGAGCAGGCCATTGCAGTAGTCTAACCTACTGGAGACAAATGCATGGATAAGAATCTCCAAGTCTGCTTTAGACACTATGTTTTTGATCCTGGCAATGTTTTTTAGATGGTAAAAAGCTGCTGATGTTACTGATTTGATGTGGCTATTAAAATTTAAGTCTGAGTCCAGTATTACCCCTAGATTTCTGACCTTGTTAGAAGGTTTTAGGGAGAGAGACTGTAGGTGACAGATGACGCTCTCTCTTTGTTTCTGGGGACCAAAGACAATCATTTCAGTTTTGTCTGCGTTTAGCTGAAGGAAGTTGTTTTGCATCCACTCACTGATCTGTTGGATACAGTGAAGGAGTGAGTCCACTGGTCCATGTTCTCCTGCAGTCAGTGAGACATAGATCTGAGTGTCGTCTGCATAGTTATGATAGGAAACTTTGTTTCTGCGTATTAACTGACCTAACGGCAGCATGTAGAGATTGAACAGAAGAGGTCCCAGGATCGACCCCTGTGGTACTCCACAGGTCAGGGCCATATGATCTGAGACACAGTTTCCAATCTCCACAAAGTACTTCCTGTCTTCAAGGTAAGACCTAAACCAACTTAGGGCGGTGCCAGCGACGCCAACCCAGTCCTCTAGTCTCTGTAAGAGGATCTCATGGTCGACAGTATCAAAGGCAGCACTTAGATCTAACAGGATTAGGATTGAGACTTTGCCTGCGTCAGTGTTCAGCCGGATATCGTTTGTAACCTTAACGAGAGCAGTCTCAGTGCTGTGGTGGGGTCTAAAGCCGGACTGAAACATATCAAATGAGTTGTTGATTATAAGAAATCTAGTAAGCTGTAGGTAGACAACTTTCTCAAGGACTTTCCCCATAAATGGGAGATTTGAGATGGGACGATAGTTGTTAAGTACCGTAGCATCCAGACTGCTCTTTTTTAGCAGGGGCCTGATGACTGCAGTTTTCAGGGCCTTTGGGAATATTCCAGAATCAAGGGACATGTTTACTATCTGTGTGAGTGAAGGTAACAGACTGCTCAGAACAGACTTTAGAAATCTAGTGGGTAGTACATCCAGGCTGCATGTGGAGGAGCTCAAACTGGAGATTATCTCTTGGACAGTTTGATCATTTACAGGTGCAAAGTAAGTTAGCTCAAAGAGCCTTTCTGGCTGTTGGATTGTTATCTGTGGATTGGAGACAATGGCGTTTTTGATGCCTTGAACCTTGTCATTGAAAAAATGTGCAAACTCATTACATTTACGTTTGGAAGTTAGCTCTAATGGCATTTGAACAGGGGGGTTTGTTAATCTATTAACTGTTGAAAACAGAACACGCAGATTGTTGCTGCAGCCTTCAATCATTTCAGAAAAATACCTTTCTCTTGTACTACGTAGCACCTGGTTAAACTCGCACAACTTATCTTTGAAGATCTTGTAATCAACCTGGAGGTTGGACTTGCGCCACTTCCGCTCGGCCCTCCGGCACTCTCTCTTTTGTGCTCTGACCGAGTCTGCTTTAGCCCACGGCGCCTTCTCCTTATTTTTCACTATTTTAACCTTCACAGGAGCGATGGTGTCCAGAACTTTCAAAACACTAGAGGTGACAGAGTTAAACAGTTCATCTACAGTAGAATACGATGCATTCTCAAAGTTTATCATTCCCATAAATAGTTCACCCGTATTTTCATTTATGTGTCTTCTTCGTACAGTTGCAGAGTCCACTGGTGGTTTGTTAGTGAAACACATGTCAAAAAATATACAAAAATGATCCGAAAGCGCAACATCGACCACGTTTACATTATATATGTTCGCCCCCTTTGTAACTAACAGGTCTAGAGTGTGCCCTTTGCTGTGGGTGGGGCCACTCACATGCTGAGTGAGACCAAAAGATTCAAGAAGAGAACTCAGCTCTTTAGCATTTCTGTCATCAACATTATCCACATGAATATTAAAATCACCTGTAATAACTAAACTATCAAAATCTGTGCATACAACTGAAAGCAACTCTGTAAAATTATCAATAAAACTGTGACATGACTGCGGTGGCTTGTATAGGACAACGAAAAGTATTGGAGGAGATTGTTTTTGTTGTATTTTAAAAGACACATATTCAAAAGACGGAAACTTCCCAAGAGACATTCTATGGGAGACAAAGTGGTCTCTGAAAATGGCAGCTAAGCCTCCTCCTTTTTTGTTTTCCCGTATTTCAGATTCAAATTTGAAATTTGGTGGTGATGCTTCTATTAAAACTGCATTTTCTGTATTTTGGTCAAGCCATGTTTCAGCCATGAACATAAGATCTAGATTATAAGAACAAATAAAATTATTGATTAAAAAAGACTTGTTACAAAGAGATCTGACATTTAGCATAGCAAGTTTCAAAGTTTCAGGATCAGGGGTTGTGGTCGGCTGATTCTTACACGGAACAAGAATTAGATTTTCCTGATTAGACTGATTAACTCCAGATGTTTTTCTGTTATGTATTCTTTGTGTTATCACTAAGGGAATGGCACAGGTGGCTTCACGACAGGGCCCCAGCCGGGTCTCTCCTCTAACTAGACTGCCAGTGGCTGCGAAGCAGAGACCCTGTGCATCCTAGTGTTTAGAGAAAAGAGGGGTAGGGGAAGGCGGGGGAGGAGGATGGAGAGGCGGGTGGTTCTTGGGAGTTGGACGGGGAGGGGTTGAAGGTGGATGGGTTTTTGGTGATGGGTTAGGGGAGGGGCAGGCTGAGTTGGGTGGTGGACGAGGGGGGAGTGGAGGTGGAGGGTTTCTTGGTGCTGAGTTAGGGGGGGGGAGGGGGGCTAAATGAGCAGGAGGGGGGGGTGGAATACTTATGGGGTTAGAGGAGGGACGGGTGGATTTTGTGGGAGAATTTGAGTTGGACGCCCTAGGTGGCTTTGGAGGTACGTATGGGGAGTAGTTTTGAATGTTAGATAGGACTCTTGATCTGGCTACAGTGGGTGTGAGAGGAATAGTCTTCATCGCCGATCTTATCATGCCTGCAGAGTGTTCCGGTAAATCCAGTAGTGAAGGCGGGGATAGAAAACAAAGGGAAAGGTCGTCCTCATTTTCCCTAGATGGAGTGGATGTAGCGGGGGGGACCCAAGCCGGGTCCATGGAAGGTGATGAGGGAGTCTTTGGTGGAGACAGAGGTGGTTGAGGAACCCCCAGTACAGGCCTGACTGTAGCCTGGAGTAATGGGGGAAGCTTCACGGGAGCTGTAGGTGGGGAAGGTGCTGCTGAAGATGATGGAGCAGCCACTGCTGCTGCTGTATCCACTGCTGCTGCTGAAGATGATGGAGCAGCCACTGCTGCTGCTGAAGATGATGGAGCAGCCACTGCTGCTGCTGAAGATGATGGAGCAGCCACTGCTGCGGCTGTATCCACTGCTGCTGCTGAAGATGATGGAGCAGCCACTGCTGCTGCTGTATCCACTGCTGCTGCTGAAGATGATGGAGCAGCCACTGCTGCGGCTGTATCCACTGCTGCTGGTGGTGCTGTATATGCTGATGGCGCTGATGAAGATGTGGCAGCTGCTGATGATGCTGGGGGTGGAGGCGTTGAGCTCTCTCGAAGCCGTGGAGGTGTTGAGTTCTTTTGGAACCTTGGAGGTGTTGAGTTCTTCTTGAATCGTGGAGGTGTGGAGTTCTTTTGAGGCGGTGGGGGTGCAGAGACCTCGGGAGTCGGTGGAGATGGTAGTGATGTCTGTGCCCTTTGCTTCTTCTTTCTCCCTTTCAACGGCTGCACGCGCTGCGCAGGCTGAGGTCTTAGGGCAGATGCAAAGTTATCCATCAGCACTTTTACTCCGTAGTTGTTCAGATGTGGGCCTTTTTCTTCAAAAAGCTCGTGCCTATTCCAGAACAGATTAAAGTTTTCAATGAAGCCAAGTCCTCTGCGTGAACACTCATTGAGTAGAAATGTATTTAGCTGATACAGACGGCTAAACTTCTCCATTTTTCCATCTATATTTGGCAGTGGGCCACTAAGAAAAATTGTTATGTCCATTTTCTTGAGGTCATCCAGTAACAGCGTTAAATCCATTCGTAACTTCTCGCTTGCCTTCTCATAGATATCTACCGCCCCCGTGTGGATCAATAATGTACGCACACCACTGTTCTCAGATAACACTTTAGGCAGAAGAGTTCTTATCTCAGCAACTTTAGCAGAGGGAACTGAGACAGTGAGCATGGACTCCATGTTTACATTTTTCACCGAGCCATCTCCGATAAGGATACAGTTTGTCCTTGGTGGAGGCGCTGCAGTTTTTAGCAGCTTTGTTGTTTCAGAAAGGGGTAAAAAGCGGTTTGAAGTCTTCAGAACATTTAGTTGTGGCCTTATTTCACTCCTATTGTCATTCTTAGCTTTGTCAACTTTGGGTTTGGCTCCACAATTGTTCCAATAATTCTCATTGTTGATTTTGGGAAAAGAAATGACGTCATAACTTACATTTCCAGTCTGTCCATTCATCCCATTTTCACTCATTGGAAGAGTCGGGTTAAGTCCCATTTCTGTTTCCACAATAGATATCCGTGTTTGAAGAGATTTAACAGTCCCAAGAGATGTGTATAGGTGGCTAATTTGTGGTCTATAAGAATCATTCAAATATTGACACTAAATCAATCAAGAACCTGTTCTTTTTGCTCTTCTCTATTTTCACAGATATCTTTAAATTTGACTCTGAATCTGAATCTGCTCTTTTGTGTAGGACGAGGGCTCAGTGGAGTGCTCTGCGTGCCTACGAGGCCACTTCTGCAGTAACGAGACTACAAGTGAAGAAGCCATGTTGAAAGTCATGGTTTGTCCTGCAGGCTTTCTCTGCTCTCAAGGTTTGACCAGAGACCCCCAACGATCTGCAACACTGTGTCCTCGAGGCTTCTACTGTCCTGGAGGAGGGATTGTGAGTTACATTTGACTTCATGCAAATATGAAAAAGTTTATTTTATTATTTTATTTTAGGATCCCAACCCTATTCCCTGCCCAAATGGTACATACAGTCCTTTTCCGGGACTACGGGATGTTAGAGATTGTCTACTATGTCCTGAGGGGAAATACTGTTACACTCTACATCCACAGAACGAGCCAATAACTTCCCCTGTGAGAAAAAATAAAACATTTATTGATAATAAATATTTGTGCATTTGTTGTTACTGTATTTGAGGATTGGTGTTTTAGACTGGCCCTTGTCCTGATGGTCATTTTTGCCCTCCTGGAACTGGATTTCCCTACACCTATCCTTGTCAATCTGGCCAATTCAGAAACAATACTGAAGGCCACAATGGACAGAAGTGTGTTCTTTGCCCCATGAGATATTACTGTAAAGGACAAGGAACACACACACCGTCAGTATGTCCTCAGGTAAAAAATATTGTGTCACCATGAGCTATATTTGTCCTTCATCTTTCATTTTCAAACTGAATTTCCATATGTTGCATCATTGTGTTGTTTAAGGGCTTTTACTGTGCAGTGGGCACTTCTTTTCCTGAGCCTTGTCCTGAGGGAACCTTCAGCTCCCGCTCAGCTCTTGGCGATAGGGCTGAGTGCGCCCCTTGTGGTGGAGGAGAGTTTTGCAATGGTGTTGGTCTCAAAGAACCCACAGGACAATGTAAAGAGCGCTACTACTGTCAAGAAGGAGCCAAGTCTGCTGTGAGAACATTTATTTTTAATTCATTCTCGAGTTAAACAAGTTCGCAGTAACACTAGGTAGAAAGACAGTGGTGAAAACTCTAGTGAAAATATTTCTTTTGTATCCGTTCACTGCCACATTCTTATTGAATTCATAATCTTTCTTCAAAGTAGTATAAACATTATTAATACTATTGCAATTACAACTTTAAAAATGGCTATCCATAATATGCACAATTCTGTATTGACTCAAAATCTGAAAAATACTCACCATTAAAGTGGTTCTTCTATAATGTTGGCTTGATTACCTAAATGAGACCACAAGAAACTAACTATGTAACCAAATCAAACTACCGGTGGTCTCCTCTTTTTATAAGAGAAAAAAAAAAAATAGCAGCCATGTTTTAAAGACAACATGTAAAAGTTCCTTTCTTTTAAACAAAGCAAAAAGTTATGTACTAGAGCTTTAAATACATATTATCATCTAATTACTAGTTTACTAGTGATAATAAATAATGTTATAACTTAAAATATGTAATGTTATACTCTTGCATTCGTGCAAATAAATTCACTTTTTAAGTGTAGACTCCTGTGGATGGGGTGACGGGAGGATTGTGTCCGGCTGGAAGTTTCTGTCCCTCTGCGTCCTCCGCTCCCCTGCCTTGTCCTTCCGGCACCTTTAGCAACAGCACTGGCCTAAGCAAACAGGATGAGTGTTCTCCCTGTCCACCAGGGTAAATGTACTTTTATTTTATGCAATGCACGCTTAGAAATATACTTCTGACCGTTTTTTTTTCTTTTACAGGTTTTATTGTTTGGGTTTCAATAGCACCTCACCATCTGGAAAGTGTCATCCTGGGTTCTACTGCACTCATGGATCTACTTCACCTGTTCAGTATGAAGCGGATGTGGGCCATTATACCTTAGAAGGTGCTTTCAGGCCCGAACCATGTCCCCTTGGCACTTTTCAACCTGTATGTAATGTAAATTGGCACAAAATATCTTTCCATTATTGTTTAAGAATTTTATCCATGAATCCTGCTCAGAGTCAAGGTGCACAATCTTGTATAGAGTGTCCCGGTGGCAGAGTGTGTAATCAGACTGGTATGTCACAACCAGCACTGTGCCCCACTGGGCACTATTGTCCTCCTGGGTCAACTGCAGCTCGCCCTTGTCCTACAGTCAGTATTTTGTATTTTGTATCAATAATGAATGTATATTTTCAGTATATCAACATGTTGATTCACTCTGTAGGGCTACTTCTCTGACCAGTCTGGAGGAGAAACATTACATCATTGCAGGCCATGTGAGGCAGGCAGGTTCTGTGGTCGAATTGGTCTTTCAAAACCTCAAGGTCTTTGTGCCTATGGACATTACTGCACCTCTGGAGCCTCCACTGCATTTCCAGTAAGGCAACAAATCCACTATAATCTACCAAGTGTATTGATAATAAAAAAGTCACAATAAAAACACTTCTTTCAATTCAATTACTTGTAAGAATTATGTCTTGTTTACAGGTCGCCATGACTTCTGGTGGGGTATGTCCCATGGGCTTCTTCTGCCCTCGAGGTACAAGGCACCCACAGCAGCATGCGTGCCCTGCCGGGACGTGGAGTGATTCCATTGGGGCTCAGAACATGTCCAGCTGCCGTCCTTGTCCCCCTGGTCTTTACTGTAACATGACAGGGCTTAGTCAACCCTCTGGAATGTGTCATGCAGGTACAGAAAATGTGCCCAATAAGAATAAATAGATGCTTCATTTGGAATAGTGTCTTAATTCGGTTTGTTTGTACTATTGTAGGGTATTACTGCGTAGGTGGAGCAATATATCCCAGACCAACAGACAGTATAACAGGAGACGTTTGTCCTGTTGGACATCAGTGCCCCCTTGGCTCATCCTCTCCCTTTCTCTGCCCTGATGGGACTTTCTCTAACTCAACAGGTTTTTAACGAGCACTATATAATAGAAGATGTACTAAAACAGATTACCTTAATTTTGTGGTTTTGTTCATCTTCTGATGCAGGAGCAGGACAGTGTGAGGACTGTCCCATGGGGACCTACTGCCTCTCAGGGGATGGAGTCCAGCTGTGTCCAGCCGGACACTATTGTGTTGGTGGAGGGGTTGAGGGTATCCTACCATGCCCTCCTGGTACATACAACCCTAAGTTTGGCCTCAGTCAAGTGGAGCAGTGCCTAATTTGTCCAGCAGGTGAGAGCATTGCTACATTGTTGCAAAGAGATACATTTCAAAGAAAACTATAAGCTATAAAGGATAACACAATAGCAGCTGTGTTTCAGATATCAATGCAAACTATGACATGCTGTTTACTGTCTTATAGGTTTCTTTTGTGAAGACTGGGGTATGTTTGAACCCACTGGACCCTGTCAGCCGGGTTACTATTGCATAGCAGGTATTGGGCAATCAGTAGATAGCTGTTTTTGTGCATCGTCATTTCTATTATGATAAAAACATGAAATTAATTACGAGTATGGACAAATTTACAAAATCATGTGTACTTTTTCCAGGTGTGAATTTTCCAAATCCAGATGGAAACTTCAGCACAGGTGTGGGAGGAGCTTGTCCTAAGGGAAAGTACTGTCCTGAAGGGACTAGTTTCCCTCTGCCCTGCCCTTCAGGAACCTACTCTAAGAGGTAGAGGAGTAATTGTTACATACTCATTCAATATCAAACATTATAAATGTTTTGTGTGTGTCACATGCAGTGTACATCTGACAGACCCCTCCAGTTGTAGTCCATGTCCACCAGGGTATTTTTGTGGAAGTAGAGGCTTAACTGACCCATCAGGCTTTTGTAAGGCAGGATTCTACTGCCCGGGAGGTGACACAGCACCTACAGGTATTATGTTTGCAGTGAATAACTGTTGTTTATGTGCAATCACTTGAAAATACTTTGTATTTCTCTAATTAGTTATGTATAATATTGCTTCATATTATTTATCATATTGCTACAGAAATTAAGTATTATTGAATTAGCTATGTATTATCACAAGTGTAATCAAATGAAGTACTGAGTATTTCTAATCTCCATTTGTCACAACTGCTCACTGGCTTTGCATGCAGGCTCAGAAGGAGGCCCCTGTCCTGCAGCACATTTTTGCTCTGAGGGAAGTGCCCACCCTGAGCCCTGCCCAGCTGGAAGCTTCTCCAATCTCACAGGGCGTGCGGTGTGTTCCCGCTGTCCAGCTGGTTTCTACTGTCCAGAGATAACTGCCAATTTCTCAGAGTTCCCCTGTCCACCAGGATTTTACTGTCCTGATGGTAAAAACGTCCTTGCATATTTAAAGTTGTGATTTTGCCGCAAGCCCAGATAATATCAACTTGACTAATAAATTATATGTTAGCACTTGTTCGTTCTCCAAGTCACACTTCTGTGTCTCCAAAGGCACCAGGCATGCTACTCAGTTCCCCTGTCCCCGAGGATACTACAATCCAGAGCCGATGACTCACTCTTTGGACAGTTGCTTGCCGTGCCCCTCGGGACACTACTGTGAGAGGGAGAGACTGACCAAAGTGTCTGGAAGATGTGAGGCTGGTCTGTGTCACTGCCATTTTCTAGATATACAAATAATTTATAGATTTTCAATACATTCCTTTGCTCATATAAAATGCATTTTTGTTAGGACACCTATTTGAGAGTGAGATGAGGGTTTATTGTGATTACATGGTTTCAAAAAAAAAAAGTTCTTTCTCCATAGGCTGGTTCTGTGTGTCCGCTGCATGGACCTCTCAGCCCTTTGATCTTGACAACTACACAAATGCCAACTGTCTATGTCCAGCCACAGCCACAGGAGGCCGCTGCCAGCCAGGCTTCTACTGCCCATCAGGAAGCTCTGAACCCCTGCCATGTCCACCTGGAGCATTTTGTAATATTTCAGGTATTTCTCACTAGGGATGTAAAAAACTATGAATTTTCATGACCGACCACCGAGCCTCATTAACCGGTTGAAACCGGTTAACCGCGTAGTTTAAAATAGTCCACGTTCTTTGAAATAACAGCCATTTCGAGCCGCGTACTTTTCATAAGTGCAGCTCTGCGTTCTACTGGATCAGAGTTGAGACAGCGGCGCCCGAACCCGCAACAGCTCCGGCACCTTTGCGCACAGAGAACTGCTGTTTTAATCTTCCCATTCTGCTGTGCTGCGGGTTAATACCAAAACTTTCTAGCAGCAAACGACGGCTCGTTCACATGGTCAGAGCAGCGAGTGACGAGCCGCGTCTCACAGGTCTTCACAAAAGTTTAAATACAAGTGATGTGTGTGGAGCTGATCCCGAGGACCATAAACACAAACATGTTCCATGTGGTTTGACTGGAGCCGCGTATTAGCGCGAATCCTTTGGGCTCCGTGACACAGAGGAGCGCGACAGACCGGTATGTGTGTGTGTATGTATAACTTTGACGGTAACAGTGGGGAGAGATGATGCGTGTGGATGTTACGTATGGAGAGGGGGAAAGTGTGTGTGCGCGCGCGTGTGTGTGTGTGTGCGCGCGCGTGCGTGTGTGCATATGTGGCTCGTGCGGCGTGAGAGTCGTCCCGGAGTTTATAATACATGGGCGCACACAGCTAGATACAGACCCGCTCGGCACACCGTGCAAATAGGGCTTAAAATAGCGTTATTAAGAGACCTCCCCTCTCCCCTTTTTCTCTTTTTTAACCGACAGCTTTGACCGGTTAACGCTGTGACGGTCAACCACCGGTTAACCGGTCGCCGATTTACATCCCTATTTCTCACATGTGTTTTCATATGTAAGTTAAGTTACACAATAAACTTACAAATATGTTTTCATCAATAGGTTTGTCTCTACCAGTCGGCCCTTGTTCCTCTGGATATTACTGTGTGGGAGGAGCAGTGGAAGCAAAACCATTTGACGGAGAAACCGGCAGTATTTGTCCACCTGGGACATACTGCAGTAGGTTCTGATTCTTTCACTTTTTTGCATCACACATGTATACATCCTTACTGTGTGCATTCTCAGTTGAAGGATCTGGGAAGCCTGAGCCTTGTCCACGTGGAACCTTCTCTCCATCTCCAGGTTTAAGTGACAGAGATGGCTGCCTGCCCTGTCCTGGAGGATCCTATTGCTCTGGGATTGGCCTAAGTATTCCAACAGGCCTCTGTGCTGAAGGTGCAGACGCTTTTAGTATATTTTTTAAATGTTGATATGCTATTATGAATAAATGAATATGTAAAATATATATATATATATATATATTTGTTATTAATTGGCCCTGCACCTACATTTCAGGCTATTGGTGCCCCCCTGGTCAGATTTGGGGAACAGCTCAGCCATGTCCTTCAGGGCACTTTTGCCCCTTGGGCAGTTCATCACCTGCACCCTGTCCTGCAGGTACATACCAGGAGCAACAATCACAAGCATCTTGTTTGCTTTGTAAACCAGGTACTTTCCCCCATGGTTTATACATTTGAATGTGCAAACAAACTGTCATGTATGTGTATACGTATATTAAAAGCTTTTTGCTCTGTTTCCAGGGTACTATTGTATGGAGAGTTCAGGTTTTTTAAATGGGTCTTACCTGCATCCTTGCCCTAAAGGACATTATTGTCCTGAGGGCACTTCTTCTCCCGACCAGCACCCTTGTCCTTTGGGCACCTATAACCCCAAGAATCATGCAGACAGTTCACAAGGCTGTGTGCCATGTCCTTCAGGCCAATTTTGTTCTTTTTTGGGACTCAGTGAACCAGCAGGTTTGCAAGACATTTCTTTTGTAAATTAATGCATTAATTCATGATGAGATAAGGATGAGTTCACTAATGGATCACATCAGTTCATTAATGAATTACCCTTTGCAATTATGCCCATCATCAGCTTATGAGAAGATAAACTCATCATCAACTCATCATGAACTCATCATACGACATAGTCATGCTGAACACCAGAGGCAGTTTGACTCATTATTACTCTATCCTGTTTTGTCAATGATAATGTTGGTTATGATGAGTCAGGATGGTTCATTATGTCTGCAGTTGTCTTTCTTGAATAATAATGTAAATCAGTAATGAACTAATCTTGATCTAATGGATGAATTCTTCATGAATAAAGGCAAAAATCATTAATCAACGTTAGTTATAAGGCTAAAGTCAGGAGAAATGTATCATTTTAAAATGCACATGCTGTATGTTTTATGAACATATTGCATATATAATGTATATAACTTAAGTTGAAATGACCAACAGGTCCTTGTGAAGCTGGGTACTGGTGTAGAGAAGGTGCGTCCTCTCCAACCCCTCAAGATAATCTCACAGGCCTCCTGTGTCCTCCTGGTCAATATTGTCCTTTAGGTAATGTATCTGCTGTATGATTTTCCTGTATATTTTCTAAAATCTCATTAACTCTCATTAAAATGTGCAGGCACAACTTCCCCTATTGCTTGCCCTGATGGAACTTGGTCTAATACCTCTGGTTTGGGTCACAAGGGAGACTGTAAAATGTGCTTAGCCGGGCATTACTGTGATGGCACAGGCCTGATTAAACCAACAGGACCATGTCGTGGAGGGTACAGTGCTTTTTAAAACAAATAAGATATTTTCCGATGGCAGCCATGAATCAAGAGAACATTGTTTTGTACAGCTATTATTGTTCAGAGGGCGCAGTCACACCCACTCCCACTGACAAAGTAAAAGGAGGAGTCTGTCCAGAGAGTTACTTCTGTCCTGAAGGAAGTGTCCAGCCTCAGCTCTGCTCTCCTGGAACATATGTATCTGTCACTATGGCGACCCACTGTGAGCCCTGTCTGCCCGGCTGGTATTGTGTCTATGGCTCACTTCATCTTTGTCCAGCAGGTGTGTAATGAATCCATCAAGCTAAATTGATGCCTGAAATTTACTTTTTGTTACAATTTTTATTACAGGTTTTTATTGTCCTGAGGGTACTGGATATAATATGAGTGGTTGTCCAGAGGGAACATATGGCCCTGACCTGGGTTACTGGTCAGTCTCCCAGTGCAAGCAGTGCGATGGCGGCCATTACTGCTCTTCAAGAAATGGATCATCTGTTACTGGACCATGTCAAGAAGGATATTTCTGTTCATATGGAAACACATCTCCAAAACCGGGTTTACAGTTTTCTGGTAAACTTTAAATATCGGTTAAAAAAATTGTCCTAAAGCCTGGAATTAGGGCTGTCAAAATTATCGCGTTAACGCACGTTAATTAATTTTTTTCACTAATCGCGTTAAAAAAATTAACGCATTTGACGCATGCCCATGCGTCCCTAAATAACACTCAGAATGCCGCGGACACATACGTGTGTAAGATGGGGACAGCGCAGGTAGGCCCTCTGGGAATTCAAGTTTTGAAAGAATACACGCGTGACCGCGGGGCACTTGTAGTTTCCTGTATGAACTCTGCATGATGAGCTGCAGGCGCGACAGCGCTCTGGACAGCAGTTCCCACTTCCAGCGGCTGTGATCACGGCGAACGGCGCTGCGTAATGGGATCATATCCAAGACCACGCACAGAACTATTACAGAACTATTCTCTAGTGTGCGTACGTGTCTTTGCGTAACCGATGCACACAATATGTACAGCGCTGAAGCTGGACTGCGGAGCCTCAGTCTCCTCCGTGTCTTCTCCCGAAGCGCACTTGCTAAATTAAAGCTGAGGTACCTAATTTTCCTTTCGACCATCAGTTCATGTTGGTTGTGCCAAAAAAAGTAATGGTGTGAGAAAATCAAACAGATTTAATGACATTCTGCATTTCAGACTGTTTTGAAATGTCCCTCATCTGTAACAAACAATGGTTTTGGTCTGAGTCTAAACAGAAAGACAGAATGTTAATAATGTTAATTCAATTTTATATGGATTTCTTGTTATAACAAACAAATACAGTACATATGTTCACTAAGCTGTCATTTATCTTTCCATTCAAACAACAATTTACAGAAAAATATGGCATAATTTTGCCAATAGTTTGAAATGCGATTAATTACAATTAATTAATTTTTAAGCTGTAATTAACTCGATTAAAACATTTTATCATTTGACAGCCCTACCTGGAATACATTGACTTAGACTTGGCGAGCGTGATTCCAGCAGACTGTCTTTGCTTAAAATCACTGAGCACTGATCACTGTAAGGCACAGGGAAATTGCAGTGCAGGACAGCAGAAGCGCAGCAGTTTTCTGATTATCAAACCCAATTTTGTATTAAACAATTCAGCTCAAGTCTGAAGTCAGTAAAACATATAGGCAGCAGCGAACCCAATCTAAATACTGTATGTGCTGCACTCCCACCCAAAGAAATTGTATGTCAGGACTCAGGCAGCTTTTTTCTGTCTTTCACCAGGAAAAGGAGGTCCATGTCCAGCTGGACATTATTGTCCTATAGCCACTGTTCATCCTTTCCCCTGTCCCCCTGGAACATTTTCAAATCTCACTAAATTAGCCACTCAGGTTGGTCTATGCTTGTTGTTCTGGTTCACAAATTATTATTAATCCATAATACGTGATTTTGTCCATTACTATGTTTACACCATATCATTAAGACCCAAATTGCAATAATTTTACTTCCCACTTTCTTCTCATTTCACTCAGGAAGATTGTCAGCCCTGCCTTCCTGGTCACTACTGTGATGCGGTGGGGCTCTCTGCCCCTACAGGAAAATGTTGGGAAGGGTTCTTTTGCCTGAGGGGAGCACAGCGCCCTGACCCTCTTCTGAGAGACATCTATGGAGGACTTTGTCCAAAAGGTCATCAAGAAAATACAGAATTTGAAATTTATTAAAGTTGACCTTGACGTTAGGTTAACAACTTTGATAACCGTATATAAAACAGATTGATTTTCATGTTTAGCTCAAGTATGCTTCAAGTTAATAGTGTTGGCCCTGACCAGCTGTTGTGATAACTGGGAATACAAAACTATTCCCTTGTGTGTTCCTTGTGTACTGTGTTTGTTTAAATGGACATCGATGTCTTGAACCTTGTCTCTACATAAGCAGGTTATTACTGTTCAGAGGGCTCAGCGGCTCCACAGCAGTGCCCATTGGGAACTATCAGTGAAGTCGATGGTTTGCCCAGCTGCAGTATCTGTCCCCAGGGGTAAGCTTGTTTTCAAGACGTGCTGTGAACCTTCCATTAAGTTATTGTGTAGTTGGCTGTTTACTCCAGGCACACAGCATGTAATCTCAAATATATGTTTATTACATTAATCCTCCCAGTGGACTCATTTATTGTCTTCTTTGTTTCAGGTTTTATTGTCCCGTCAGCAGTATCGGTACTTTATATGAAAGTTATGAATGTCCCATGGGCCATTATTGCCCATCTGGGACATGGGCTAAGGATCAGTATCCATGTCCTTCTGGATCTTTTAACCCACACTTGCGAATGTCAAAGCCCCAACACTGTCAGCCCTGCCTTCCAGGTTTTTTTTTTTCAATCATTCATACGGTTACATTACATTACGTTACATTACATTGGAATAACAAAAAAATTTATGACATTGTGTTTAATTCTACATTTCCTGTTTTACCAGGGTCCTTCTGTGCCTTCCCAGGAAAAGGTAACGCAACAGGGCTGTGTGATGCTGGATACTACTGCCTTTCTGGGGCTTCATCACCCACTCCAACAGATGGAGGACATACTGGAGGCTTGTGTCCTGAAGGTCATTACTGTGGCCAGGGCTCCTCAGCTCCAACCCCTTGTTCTTCTGGATATTATAGCAACACTACAGGAAACACTGATATATCCAGCTGTCTGCCCTGTCTTCCAGGTAGGTGGTCACTTCGAATGGTTAGGATTAAGTACACACAGGTATCTCTGAAGTAAATATAAGCATGTGTGTTTTAGCGCAGATTCTAGTTACTATTGTTCTGTCAGTATAGAGCTTGTGTTGGTATATTTTTCTTACTATATTGCAAATTACAATTGTAAAACATTTGATATTATTTCCTATTTTCTTTCAACTACGAAATGTTTGTGTTTGTGTTTTTTTTCTTGTTGTTATTGTAGGATATCTCTGTGCCACTAGAGGACTCTCTTTCCCCACTCAAGTCTGCCCTGCTGGCTCGTTCTGTCCCGGCGCAGATAACAATGTTCTTCAGACGTCAGTGCTTTGCTTCCCCGGAAATATGTGCCCCCCTGGATCTAAAGCACAACTTCCCTGTTTTCCAGGCAGCTACCAGAGCTTACCAGGACAGGTAGATGAATACAGATAAGATAAACCGTCCCACAGACCTTTCAGTTCCAGCTGACTTTACAAGGGCAGTGGGAGTGAAAGCAGCACTCCCAAGATAGCTGTAAATATTTTGTTAAAGTAACTCAACTCTTTCTTCTTCTTTAGCTGAAGTATAACACTTTTATTAGTAGTACCCCATAAAGATATATATGTTATGAACATTTGCATGAGGAGGTTCAGACTAAAATTAGCATATTTATAGTAACAACTGAAATTATTTATGCAGCATAAAGATAGGGGCAGAATGAATGGTCAGTTGTACACATTGAGATGTTGCATTTTCTTACATTTCCTACAGCATTGTACAACATTATCACAGGTGATTGGTGCATGTACTTGTGTCTGTTGTTCAGTCTGGTAGATTATTTTTGTTATATATTTTCAATTGTTTTACACTTTCATGGTAGAAACAGTGTAAATATTCCACTTTATAGCAGAAAAGCTCATTTCCAGCTAATGTCAATAGCCAGGTAGCACAAGTTGATATGCATTTACAAACATCACATTCATCTAGCAGCTAGTTAAAGGGCTCACAGACTTTTTCATCCACAGTTTAAGGTGCAGTTTTAACGTGGATAGTGTGAGACTAGCAATTGTTAGAGGAAGACCAGTCCAATAGAGCATCACTTTGTCGGACAGCACATTCCGACATGTACAGGATCACCATTGTTCATTGTACAGTCTGACAGCAGTAGAGGGAATGACCTGCAGAGCCTCTCCTTCACTCAAAGGGTGTGACAGTCACTGAAGCTGCTCTCTGGAGCAGACAGAGCGTCCTGGGAGGAGGTGACATGGTCCACCATACAGTACGAGTACCTTGCAGAAGTATTCATACCCCATGAACTCTCCTACAATTTGCGTAGTTACGGCCACAAACCATTGGCATTTTCTGTGAAAGGCCATACATAGAAACCTAATTGTTTTAACTATTAGGTTAAACTATTAGCTTTCTTTGTTTAAATAAGAGAGAGATTTATGTATTCTTGTGGAAAGTTACAAGCCAGTTAATCAAACCGTATCCTTCTTTGATTAATAACCAACAATATATGTATGCTGTATATTCTGTGATTTGTCTTTTATAGATAGAGTGTATTGAATGCCCTGCTGGATTTTACTGTAATGGTTCAATGGACACTATCACTGGACTTGTGACCGGGACCCAAACTCCATTGTTGTGTCCCCCAGGATTTTACTGTCCATCAGGTAAAAGCATGTTAAGAGATGGGCCACGACCCTGACCATGTTCAAAACTAGGTTCAAAACATATCGGTGTAGTCGTGCATACAACTCAATCAATGTATTTTGTACATTTGAACTCTTTGAATAGGAGTTTTATGCCCAATACTTTTATGCTGCACTGTTTTAATGTTTGTTTGTTTTCTTGGTCAAAGTGTACTTTACAAATAAATGATTTTGATTAATTTTGAGGAAAAAAAGGGGGAAAAAGCATGTTAAGAGCTTTTGAACTATTAAAGAGATTTTGCTCTGGACTATCTGTTGCATTGTGGAATTTAGCAGGGTATATTTAGATAGATAAATAGATACTTTATTGATCCCCCGTAGGAGAAATTCAGGTGTCCAGCAGCAAAAAACTCATCCAGGTTTGTTGATCAGTCTTGACAGCCAAAGGAACAAAGTATCTCTTAAAACGTTCCGTTCGGCAGCACAGTGATATAAGCCTGTTGGTACGATTACTCCCCTGAGCTGCCATAGTGTCATGCATTTTTCAACCTAGGGGCTAAACTACATTGGTAAAGTGAAATAGCATTTTCCCTGGTTCAGGTCTATCTGAACAAGCTTATCACTTCCGCACCCTTGATGAATATTCCTATATACAGTATTCGGCCCCCTTAACCTTTCAATATTTCGCCACATTTCAGGCTTCAAACATAAAGATATAAAATTTCAATTTTTTGTCAAGAATCAACAACAAGTGGGACACAATCGTGAAGTGGAACCAAATTTATTGGATAATTTAAACTTTTTTAACAAATAAAAAACTGAAAAGTGGGGCGTGCAATATTATTCGGCCCCTTTACTTTTAGTGCAGCAAACTCAGTCCAGAAGTTCAGTGAGGATCTTTGAATGATCCAATGTTGTCCTAAATGACTGATGATGATAAATAGAATGCACCTGTGTGTAATCAAGTCTCCGTATAAATGCACCTGCTCTTTGATAGTCTCAGGGTTCTGTTTAAAGCGCAGAGAGAACCATGAAGACAAAGAAACACACCAGGCAGGTCCGAGATACTGTTGTGGAGAAGTTTAGCCAAGAGGCCCATGATCACTCTGGATGAACTGCAGATAACTACAGCTGAGGTGGGAGAGTCTGTCCATAGGACAACAATCAGTCGTGCACTGAACAAATCTGGCCTTTATGGAAGAGTGGCAAGAAGAAAGCCAAAAAGTCTCGTTTAAAGTTTGCCACAAGCCACCTGGGAGACACACCAAACATGTGGAAGAAGGTGCTCTGGTCAGATGAAACCAAAATCGAACTTTTTGGCCACAATGCAAAACGACATGTTTGGCGTAAAAGCAACACAGCTCATCACCCTGAACACACCATCCCCACTGTCAAACATGGTGGTGGCAGCATCATGGTTTGGGCCTGCTTTTCTTCAGCCGGGACAGGGAAGATGGCTAAAATTGATGGGAAGATGGATGGAGCCAAATACAGGACCATTCTGGAAGAAAACCTGTTGGAGTCTGCAAAAGACCTGAGACTGGGACGGAGATTTATCTTCCAACAGGACAATGATCCAAAACATAAAGCCAAATCTACAATGGAATGGTTCACAAATAGACGTATCCAGGTGTTAGAATGGCCAAGTCAAAGTCCAGACCTGAATCCAATCGAGAATCTGTGGAAAGAGCTGAAGACTGCTGTTCACAAACGCTCTCCATCCAACCTCACTGAGCTCGAGCTGTTTTGCAAGGAAGAATGGGCAAGAATTCCAGTCTCTCGATGTGCAAAACTGATAGACATACCCCAAGCGACTTGCAGCTGTAATTGCAGCAAAAGGTGGCGCTACAAAGTATTAGCGCAAGGGGGCCGAATAATATTGCACGCCCCACTTTTCAGTTTTTTATTTGTCAAAAAAGTTTAAATTATCCAATAAATTTCGTTCCACTTCACGATTGTGTCCAACTTGTTGTTGATTCTTGACAAAAACATTTTTTTTATATCTTTATGTTTGGATAAATATCTATATATATATATATATATATATATATATATATATATATATATCTGTGTGTGTGCGCGGGTGTGTGAAGTGTACAAGTAAGTGTATATGTGTGTGTGTGTATATACTATGTGTAGGTGCGTGTATGAGTGCTATTTGAAGGTGTATCTGTGAGTGTATGTGTATATATTTGTGTGTGTGAGTAGGTATGTGTGTGTCTGCGTGTGTGTGTGTGTGTATAAGTTTGTGTGTGTATGTGTGTGTCTGTGTGTGTGTGAGGGTTTGTTTGTATAAGTTTGTGTGTGTGTATGTGTGTGTGTGTGTCTGTGTGTGTGTGTCTGCGTGTCTGTGTGTCTGTGTGTATGTGTGTGTGTGTCTGTACACCTGTGTGCGCTCAAATGAAGAGAAATGATTCTTGACTTAAACTCTCATTAGCCTTTGACATTTGCAGGCTCCTGTGTGTTTCTGTTTCCTCTAACACAGTCATGGCCAGATTGTCATCATTTGCGATGTGAGTATTTTCTGTTTTTAAAGGAAAGAATGTAATCATAATAAGTGCAGTCAGTGCGGTTTGTTATATTGATTCGATTGTGATTAATTGTGCAGCCCTAATATTGAGAGCTTGACATCACTGAGCTCCGTGTGCAGCTCCAAAGAGAGTGAAAAAGTACTCATGGTGTTGCGTAGAAACTGTAGCGTTGGTCCGCAGGGAAATGCTAACGAGCTTTTCTCGACTTGCAGGACATTTTTATTGTTGAAAATATGTCACAGCACTCCAGCGATTAAAACATTATGAATAGACCCAGAAGTGGATATTCTCAAAGAAAACTGGATACCCATGAGTTTTAGCTTCACTTTAAGATATATTTAAACAAAAAGTATATAATAACTTGTTTTAAATGGTCAGTTTCTAAGGCAACGGCCTGAATATCTCGTCTATGTCACCCATGTCTTGAAATAATTACAGTGTTATTGGTTAGTTTGGTCAGTTTCTCTGGAGTAAGAAGTCAAAGTCCTCTAAAAGTACAAAGAACAAACACGTGTCTTCAGTCCTCATCAGGTCCTCGGGTCTGATCCACTGACCCTCTTCCAAATAAGAGAAGGTCTTGTTTATTCTTTTGAATCTGGGCTTTATCCTGGTTCTTTCCTGTTTCAGACTTTCAAGGAAATTCTGCTTGTATTGGCTTCTGCGCGATCAGGAAGCTTTGGGAGTCCGCTTTCTGACTCACAACATCAAACACAACGAGTAGCAGTAGGTTTCAACTTGTTTACTGTAGAACACACTGGAATCAAATGTGTGTGTGTGTTTATGCATGCGTGTGTGTGTGTGTGCGTGTGTGTGTATGTATGTGCGTGTGTGTGCGCGTACTCGGGTGCGCGTTTGTGTGTGTGTGTTCATGCATGCACGTGTATGTGTGTGTGTGTGTTTATGCATGCGTGTGTGTGTGTGTGCGTGTGTGTATGTATGTGCGTGTGTGTGCGCGTACTCGGGTGTGCGTTTGTGTGTGTGTTCATGCATGCACGTGTGCGTGTTTGCATGTTTGTGTGTGTGCGCGTCTACTTGGGTGCGCGTGTGTGTGTGTTTATGAATGTGTGTGTGTTTGCGTGTGTGTGTGTGTACTCGGGTGCGCGTTTGTGTGTGTGTGTTTATGCAGGCGCGTGTATGTGTGTGCGTATGTATGTGTGCGCGTGTGTGTGTAGGCATGTGTGTGTGGGTGCGTGTGTATCCGTACATGCGTGTGTATGCAAGTCTGTGCGTGTGCGTGTGTGTGTGCGGTTTTG